CAAATATCAGCAGTGCTGGACTTGAAAAACCCTCTTCTAGAGATCTTGATTTCATTAACACTTGTGGGAACATTGACCCAGGAGGCTTTGATTCCTGGCTCTGCCACTTGGGCCAGCCTGGTAATCATAGCAATTAATCATGGTCAACATTTCACGGGCACTCTGAAGGACCCAGGCATGGTACTAGGTGCGTGATAAGTGAATTTCACTGTGCAAGCAAGTTGCACTTTCTAAGTACATGTCATTCTTTCAGCAATACAGGAGCTTGTTGAGAAAGCCCAGAGAAATCAAGTGGCCCACACAAGGGGCTTCATCTATCTGGACCTCCTTTTTCACATCCGTAGTGCAGGATCATAACATCAGCCTCTCAGACAGACTATGAATACTGAAAGTCAACCAGCTGGTGCCTCACGGGCCCTCAACAGACAGCATCTGCAGTGTCAAGTGTATCAGCCCGGCATACAATGGTTAACCACCATGTCTGGCTAGATGCCCAGCCCAGCTGGGCCAGAGAGCCACACACTTTCTTTCATTATCTCGGTTGCTGGGGGAATTGGCAGAGAGAGACCCGTCCAATGCCTCAAATAAGACAAAAGTTACTAGGATTGCCAGGGGCTTGTCTTCCGGGCCGCCCTGGGCCCAGAAACTTCTCTAACCTACTTCCCAGAGGATTTTTGGCCCTTCCACCACCTGCAAGAACGAGAGGAAGGTCAGAGAGCCCACGGCCAGAGAAACCAGCCGGGAGCTGCAGAGAGTCTCTGTCCTTCCTGGGAAGTCATCTTGCTTAGTTGTCTGTGTTGACACACAGGAGCTGAGGCAGATGGACAGTTGTGAATGAGCCTGTGGATGTGACAGTTATTTGCTGAGTGTGCCTGCTATGGGCCAGGTATGCCAACCCTGGCAGACAAGATCCTCACACTCGCAAAACTCATGTTCTTGAAGAGAGACAAGCAGTAAAGAAGCAAAAAGAAATATATCCAGTGGTGGTGAGTAGCATGCAGAGAATTCCACTAGGGTGATGGCATCAGGAGTGGCTTGGGAGGTCACTGAGCAACAGGGTGGTCAGAGAAAACCTCTAGGAGGCGGCATTTAAGCTGAGGGGTGAATGATACGAAAGGTTGCAGGATGGAGAGTATGGGCATGGCATGTGCAAAGGACCTGAGGCTGCAATAAGCTGATTGTGTGGTAGGCAAGTTCTCTGCCAGGCATGATTCTGCCACCTACTGGTGGATATTGGCAATATCTGGGGATATTTTTGATTGTTTCAATCTGGGGGGTGTCTAGTACTGACATCCAGTGGGCTGAGGCCAGGAAGCTTATCAACATCTCACAATGTGCAGCATGGCCCCCACTGTAAAGAATGATCTGACCCCAGACATCAGCCATGCTAAGATTGGAAAAGTCTGGGCTAAAATAAGAGAAAGAAAGCCTAGTGTGAGTGTTAAGGTCAAAATCTTCTGATGACCCTCTTGTGAGCATCAGGAGGTGGTAAGCATGGCCATGCATGGAAGTGTAGTTGGTCCCAAGGGACCTACTGGGGACCCAGGGAAATGGGGGAAGAAACAGAGATGTGGGGACAGGCAACTTTAACTACATCAGTGGATCCTGGGTGGGTTGTGGGAAGGTGGCTGACGGCAGGTTGGCTTTGAAGGTCCCTGTAAGAGAGGGCACCAGACTAGCACTTGCTCCCTGACTCTGCCCTTCCAGGTCCGTGATCAAGTTCTCACTCTGATCCTCAGTTTTATCTTCTGTGAGATGGTGACAGTCAACTGATGCCAGGGTTCTTGTTCACCAAGTCAAAGAATGAACTTCGCAAACACTCAAGGTAGGAGAGCAAGGCAGAGGCTTTTATTTAGAGATAAAGTGAGAGGACGGAGCTCCTGGCTCACGCCAGAAGTGGGCAAGAGAGTCCAGGGTGGTGCTTTTTCTAGGGTTTTATAGGCATTTGAGAGACAAAGGGCTAGGGATGCACACCTGCTAAGTGGTCTCAAAATGTTTATCTTTGAAGAGACATTAGGTTTCTTATTAGTCTTCCTGGTTGTTTACAAGAAATTTATTGCTGTGATTTCCTCCCAGGATAGCAGCTTCCTGGTCTGGGAGCGCATCACTCAAGGCTGCCTGCTTTCCTCCCAAGGTGGGCTGAGTTATTGTCTGTTTGTTAAAGAGGATGTTAACTTACTTTTTAAGTAATTGGGTTTTAAAATGCAATTTTATTTTCAAGATGGAATCCTTCCTGTTTTTACTACATTGTTTATGACTGGGCTTGCTTGCTAAATCAATTGCCCAGGTTGCAAAACATTTGTTTAGGGCTGGAGGAAGAAGGGCAGCACCTGGGTAAAGTCAGAAAAAGAAACTGGGCCCCCCAGTAGGCCAGAGCAAATCCCACAGTGGATTATCTTGCTTTGTTTTTTCTGGAGGCCCTCACCCTACGCTGACTACACCCATGGTCCCTGTCTCACAACTACATCACAGTATTTACGTACTTAGCAGGTCTGTGCAGGAAAGGATTCACTCGGCAGGCCTGGGTTGCTCATACCCTGCTCATGAAATGTTTGGCTCTTACCCAGCTTCTAGGAGGTACCCCCTAAATGCTTGGGATGTCCTGCCTGATAGGAGTGTCTTCATTTGCCTGGGGGCTTTGGGCTAGACCAGATCACTTATGCTAACAGTGTTACTTAGGGTAGGGACTTTGGGCTATGTGACATCAGCTCTACCTCTGGAGGGGCTGGAGATAGAGTCAGCCGTGTCCGTGTGACCAATGCCCAGTACAAACCCTGGACTTCGAGGCTCAGGGGAGCATCTCAGGTTGGCAATCCACGTGCATTGTCACACACTGTATCTGTGAGATTCAAAGTCTGTCCATGTGACTCCTGTTTCCCAGCTTTAATCTGTGTACCTTCACTGTAATCAACCATAACCTGGGATAGAACAGCTTTTCTGAATTCTGTGCATCCCACCTGGTGAATCCTTGAAATGGGGGTGATCTGGGGACCCCTGTAAAGTAAGGTCTTCCCTGGGTGGACAAGGCAGGGAAGGGATGCTGAGGCAGAGATGGACAAGGTCTGAAAAAGCTCAGACTGTTTGCAGAGAACTGATACCACTGTTCATCAAGTGCCCGTTGGTAAAGTGGGCACTCTACATACCTGTCTCCCAAATGCCTTGTGCCCGCTTGCCCGCTTGGATGTTTTTGGCATTCATCTTAATTTTCAGACACAGCATGCTCCCTTATGTGTTGATTCCAAACCGAGTGCCTCTCCCTCCTCACCCTAACCTGCTCCTGACTGATCCTCACTCCCATTGCAGACACTGCAGTTGATGTCCCAGGGGGGAGGCCATTTGCTTACATCTTGCAGGCCAGCAGTGGAGGAGCCAGCCTTCCAGCCAGGCCCATGGACCCCATGGTATACATTCCTTCTGCTGGTATCAAGAGGTGAGTGAGCAGGACTCAGATTACCAGGGCATTTTCAATAAGGTCAAACTGTGAGAAGGTCTTTCCTTGGTCAGACAGCCTGTGTTTTGGGGCTATTCCACGCCTGCCTCCAGTTTTACTGAGATATTTACTGATATATATATATAACACTGAGTAGGTTTAAGGTATACAACGTGTTGACTTGTGCTTGTATATTGCGAGATGGTTACCATGGTTAGCATTAGCTAACACCTCTATCCTGCCACATAATTACCATTTCTTTTTCTGTGGTGAGAACATTTAAGAGTTACTCCCTTAGCAACTTGGAAGTCCATGATACAGTAGTATTAACTCTATTTGCCATGCTATACATCCGTTTCCAGAACTTACTCATTTTATCATCGAAAGTTCATACCCTGTGACCAACATCTCCCCATTTTCCCACCCCCCGCCCCCTGGTAACCACAACTCTACTCTCTGTTTCCGTAAGTTTGGCTTTGTTAGGTGCCACATATAAATGGGATCATACAGCACTTGTCTTTCTCTGCCTGACCTGTTTTGCTTAGCATAACGCTTTCAAGGTCTAGCCATGTTGCTGCAAATGGATTTTTTTTTTAATCTCAAAGAGTGCATCTCGGTTTGATATGATGAGGTCCTTGAGTGCCACTGGAGACACACTAACCTCCCTTCTTATCAAAGAGAGCCAGCATCAGGCTCCACGCGTCCTGCAGGCCAGGAGATCTATAGAGCTAATTTAAAGCTAGTTTCTCAGTTTCTTGGAACTGCTGACATTCAGGGACTGACAGTTCTCTCTGGGGGGCATACTGGGCACTGCAGGGACCGAAGCAGCATTCCTGGGCTCCGCCCACTAGCTCCCCTTCCCCCAGTCGTGACAACGAAAATGTCTCCAGACTGTGCAAGTGTCCCCGGAGAGTAGAATGGCCCCCGGTCGACAACTGCTGGTTTAACAAGTACACCCAGAGCCCGGATGGAGCTCGAGGGGACAGTGAGGGCAGGAAGGGTGGGGGTTCTGCTAAGTGTGTGTCCTTGCGGCCTGCCCTGCCAGGGCTGGGCCTGGCTCCCAGCCTCCATGGCTTCCCCCTGCACACCTGGGCCCAGGTTCAACTTTCACGGAGTCCCAAGGGACTCAGCTGTGGGAGAGGCTGGCTGGTCCCCAGGCCCCGACGTGGAGCTCCAGGAAGCTGCCGTTGCTGTGGTGACTGCTGAGCTGTCAGGGTGTAGAGCTGCTTGGCTAAGGGGCAGAAGGCTCCAGGGCCAGGAGCAGCCGACATCCAGGCACCTCGGCTGGGGGACCACTACCCAGCATCTCCCCGTTAGCGCTTGGACACGAAGCACAGCAGTGAGGAGCAGCCTGCTCAGCGCCCTGGGGCGCTGGGGGCTACAGGGTGCCCAAAGGACCATGGAGAGTGAGATGGGTGTTCCATGCTGGATGGCCCGGCCTGGCTGTGCTCCCAGGAAGGCCACCCAGCCACTGGTGTGAGGTCCCGGAGGCCCAGGCCCTTTGCTGGGGAAGGTTCGTCCCGGTGGGCAGGCAGCATGAGCACGGGCCCCCTCAGTCCGGGCGCCCTCCGGCGGCTTCTCCGAGGCCAGGCAGGCCCCCTCCCAGCACCTCCGTCCAACAGCGTGGCCGTCTTCATCAGCTCCACGGTCTCGGGTAAGGGGTGTGCCGGGCTGTGGGCTCAGGGGCAGTGGGCACAGCTCGCCAGGTCCTCTAAGGGAACTGGATGTGGATTGCGGAACTGGTGAGAGGGAGCCTCCCGGGCCCCCTGTTATCTTCCTGAGGAGCCAGACTGAGAGCGGCAAACTCTATCACAGCTAACATTTTCTGGCCACACCCAAGGCGTAAGGAGTGTGGGAGTGTTCCCACAGCGGCGAGGCTCTGCATCCCGGACTCTGCCGGCCACCCAGCTTTATCTTATAGGGTCCTCTTCTCCTTGCTGTGTCACACCAGGCAATTCTTAGGACCCACAAAGCCCCAGACCTCATAAGCTTATTTCATTTTGGGGTCTGTTATTCAATTTATGTGTCTTTCGAATGTCTGTCTCCTGCAACCAGGGCATTGGCAACCCGAGGGCAAAGCCTGGTGTGTTGACAAATGTTCAATGGCCTGTTCCCTCAAAAGTTAAAAAGGAGACGCCAAAGCTCTTGATTTGTATTGCCTATCAGTTTCCATGGCATGAATCTTCCCACCAGGGTCAATTTCCAGCTGCCATTGTGGCTTCACTGGACAGAGTTGGGCGGAGACATGTAATGATTCATCTCTTTCTAATATAGCTGACCCTTGCACAACACAGGTTTGAACCACACAGGGCCACTTATAAGTGGATTTATTTCCATAAATATGTCAGAAAATGTTTTGGAGACTCAGACAATTTGAAAACACACTTTCTTTTCTCTAGCTTACTTTATTGTAAGGATACAGTACATAATACATAGAACATACAAAATACATGTTCATCGACTGCTTACGTTATCAGGAAGGCTTCAGGTCAGCAGTAGGCTATTAGGTTTTGGGGGAGTCAGAAGTTATATATAGATTTTTGACAGTGCAGAGGGTCAGTGCCTCTATAACCTCCACACTGTTCAAGGCTCAACTGCACATCCCTGGTACCAAATCAAGAACAGAGCTCAAGATCGAATATAGTAAAATGATTAGGCAGTGGCAAGTTTTGAGTATTTGCCATCTTTGCTTTTACTATAACATGCACCATTGTAAGTTCAGGTCACTTAATTTTTTCATAATGGCTCTGTTAACAAAACTTCTGAAGACTTAGCCATCAGCTCTGAGGGCAGAAGGCTCCAGGGCCTGGAGGAGTAGTAGATGACTGCTTCGGCTATGTCTGTCTTATTTACTACTGTGCTCTGATGGTTAGCAGGGGTCTGGGCATGCAGTGGCTTCCTAAGAAATATTTTATGGACAAATGTAAATAACCTGTGGAATCTAAGTAACCACCTACCCTGAGAAAGGAGCCGCCAGGTAGATGAAGGCCACTCCAGCTGCCCCACCCCCGGGGGCCAGCGCGGGCGCTCAGGCCTCCACGGCGCAGTGAGGGCCGCCTGGCACCGAGTGGCGAAGCTGGAGGCCTCCAGTCTCCAAGTCCTGGTAAATCCCACCACTGGAGTGCAGGTCAGCCAGTACGAATGCAGACCCCGTAGAGGCTCTGGTGGCGGCAGCAACGGCCGCAGCCTTGGAGGAGGAGAAGCAGTGGAAGGTGGTGTGGCCCGCGTGGGCACAGGCTGATTCTAGCACCAACATTTCTGGGATGGATGAACAAACACGTGTGAGCTCTGAGGACTTTACGGACTTCTCTGATATGTACCATTCTAATGAAGAGTGCTGTAAGAAACTAGATGAGCTGAAGGCTGCCCACATGGCAACTATGGCAAAGTTAGAGAAAAATGCACCAGAATAAATTGAATTTAAAGGAAGCTCAGCCAATGATCATCAGAGAAGAAGCTTCTAGTGTCTCGTTCAGGGCTTCTCAGAAGAGAACTCATACCATGTCTTGTTAATGACATGGCCTTCTGAGCCTGTTCAGCTCGGTCTTCCTTCTTGACTTTGTCTTCCTCCGAAGATGAATTACCCAGCTTAGAAAAAGAGTGCCCAGAGGAGAGCAGAGTGCTGAGGAACCGATCAGCAATATGTGGACAGGCTTTCCTGCGGAAGATGATATTCAGTGTGTAGATGCTGATTTCCCAGCAGTTGGAAAAACAAAGAAGAAACCAAAAGAATGGGTGCCAAAGATTACAGTACCTGTAACTTTTCAAATGATGATTAGAGAACAGAAGAAAAAAGAAGAGAACATGAAATCTAAATCAGATATTGAAATGGTTCACCAACTGCTCAAAAAACAAGAGGATTCAGAGTGTAAGAAAAAATTCCAAGCCAGTCCAGTTCCTGTATTCATCTTTCCGCCCCTTTATCGTGACATAGTCAAGCAAAATGAACAACGGAGATCCAGGAAGGAGAAAAACGAAGCCCGTTTGGCCTCACAAAAGCCATTAAAGTTTATCACAAGAGAGGAGCAGAAGCAAGCAATCTGGGAAAAGCAGCTGAGAGACTTTTATAAGTCTAAAAAGAAAAATTGATTGAAAGCCAGACTCATACCTCGATCTGCTTATGGCTCAAGTACCAATAATGAGTTGAAAGAAGACGGGCTCTGTGGCGACATCAGGAAGCACCTGCAAGCCCGGAGCTCCCAGAGTACGTTTCCCTCGCCTTCTAGGCCAAATCACAGGGGTTGTGCTACACATAGGCTCAGAGGTCCTGAACAGGCTGAAAAGTTGAAGTATAAATACAAGATTAGGTGCCAGACTGCTGATTTTGAAAACCTTCCTGAGTGATATCGGAAACTCCTCTCAGAACAGAAATGTCCCAAACTACTAACAGTCTGTAAATCACCTGATGGTCATGCAGCCTCATGTCGCGTCCACTAAAAGAGAGAAGATTTTGGCAGACATAGAAGCAGACAAAGAAAATTTAAAAGAAACACATAGGTCTTATCTCTCTCCAAGGGAGAAATCACCAGTAAGAAGTGTAAGCGCAAAGCCTGTGCCTTGTAACTGCAACCCCCCAGTGCCCACGGTATCTCCCAGCGGAAGAGAGCAAGCCGCAAGAAGGGGTGAAAAGGAAAGGATCAGTGAATGACCGACCCGAACTGGAAGACAGAGAAGAAAAATTAAAAAGCAGGCCACTGCTATTTGAAAGAGTTGCTCAGAAAAACTCAAGAATGGCAGCAGAAAAGCATTATTCTAACACCCTAAAAGCACTAGGGATATCTGATGAATTTGTTTCAAAGCAAAGCGGAAGTGGAAAAACATTTGAGTACTTCAACAACCAAGAGATTAAAGGTTCACTGAAAATAAAGAAAGCTTTAATGAAGAAATAAAAATAGAAGAAAGTGAGAATGGGGAAGAAAGGTATTCTACTGATACCAACAGCCAGGATTCTTCTAAGGAAAAAGATGAAGCCGATGAAGAGAGCGGAGAAGAGAAATCTGTTGAAGAATAAGACAAAACTAGCAGCGTCTGTTCTCTGTGCTGGTGCTGCTGTTTGCAGTGTCGGGCATCAGCAGCCATGCTTGCGTGAAGACCACTGATGGGAACCTGTCTGAATATCGCATAGGGCTCTTGAGAAAAGTCATCTGTAGCCTGGAAAGGCTGCATACAGCTGATTTGGTCCTTGAGAGCTGACACCGCTTTAAAATTCATCTTTGTATTCCTTTAATATTTTGTATGGGATTGTGCATATCGTAGGTACCTAATAAAGGCTTGGATGAGTAAAAAAACTAATAAAAATAACCTGTGGAATTTATAAATAGTCTTAGGATGGGAAGGGGGTAGAAGACAAATGCAGGATTGGCGTCCAGGTCAACTCCCACGAGGGGACCTGGGCATCTTCTTTGTACCAGTGGCTTTGGCAGTCCTGTTGTGGACACTAAAGTGACCTCCCCCTGGCCATGTGGAGAAACAAGTGTTTCTTCCACGTGTACCTTAGACTAGATTCTTTTTACTCATAAGATTCAGTGGTTCAACCAATGTTTTTTGAGCACTTGTGCTTCGTGCTGAGAAATCAGCGATGACTGAGTAGAGGAGGGGATCCTTGGGGAACCTGCAGCCCTGTGAAATACAGGCACCACCCCCATTTTGCAGAAGAGGGACACAGGATAGCCTCACACTTGACCCAAGGCCACATGGTGAGTGGGAGTGGGGGAGAAGGTCTTCGAAGCCAGGTTTGCCCTGGGCGCAGGGCCACCAGATGTAGCAAAGGCAGAAAACCAAAAGGACAACAGTAAAACCAGGACACTGAGTTAAATCTCCCTTTCAGATCACCAGTGAATGCCCCTTTAATGTAGGTATATTCCAAACACGACATGGGACACATCTGCCCTATGACATCATTTGTTATTTTCTCTGAAATGCAAATCTAGCTGGGCTTATCAGATAAACACATTACCCAAATACTGCCTAGGTGGGACATACTTAGGCTCACAAATTATTCGTTGTTGGTCCGAAATGCCCCTTGAAGAGGGTTTACCAGAAATGCAAATTTATCCAAATAGCACATAGAACAGAATATACTTATGCTATCGGGTCTTTCATCCCTTATCCGAAATGCAAACTCCACCAGGTATCTTGACCATCTGTTCTGATTGATTGGGACTGAGTGGTTCCCTGGGATGTGGGATTTTTAGCGCTGACACCAGGGAAGTCCCCTGTAGCCCAGGATGGTTGGCGTCTCTGGTTTGCCTCATGTTTTTTGTGTCTTTGGGTTTGCTGTGAGGGGCCCTGGCCCTGGCAGGCACAGTGAGACTAGAAAAGAACCACGGGGCCGGGAGGGGCTCTGGGTTCCTCCAGGTGACGTGGTCCGCGCCTTCCCTTGCAGATATGGATGCAGAGAGAGAAACTCTACAGAGCACCGCCTGTCCTGAAGTGCAGACCTTCTGCCAGAAGCACGGCCTGATGTTTGAGGTAATTCCCTGCCTGTTTCTCACTGCCTCCGTTTCCCCTGCCCTGGAATTAGGGGACATGGGTGTGTCACCCGGGGAGATGCAGCATGCGGACAAAACAATGGGCACTGAGGTTTGCACAGACGATGTGCCCTCCTATTAAGCAACCTGATGTAATCTGGATGCCACCAGTCTTCTATTTGTGTCCCCTCTCTAGCTGATGACCCCATCCAGTGCCAGGAGTAGACACCTTGGGACCCTGCATCTTGGACGTGTCACTTTACTGCCTTTTATTGTTGTTTTGCTCTACCCTCCTGGCCCTCCCTACATGGGGGCAGCTTCAATGGGGAGTCTAATTTGGGGTGGGCATGGAGGTGGGGTGTGCCTTTTTTCTGGAGTGCTGACGGTAGGTGTAGTCACCACGAGCCCCGAACAGAGTTGCCTGTGAGTCCCGCCCCATTGAGGATTGCCACCTGCATGTCTCAGTGTGCCGGTCAACAAACCATCTTTGGAGCCTCAGCTTTGGCTGAGGCTGCCTCCACGCCTTTTGTGACAGTGATCCAGTGCACCAGGAGTCCCTCAATTATAACACACATCAGCGTTTATACATTACTGAGAGAGAAGCAGTGTGGGGATTCCAGCTCAGCAGCAGAGGCTCTGGAAAGGAAATCACAGCCTGAGGATGAATGCCCCATGGTCATCCCTTTAATATCCACGCAGCAAACACTGTAAACATCCTCAGCCCACAGACGGGGCATAGTGGCCTGGACAGCCTAAGGCTCCTCCCCGGGCCTGGTGACTGACCCTTTCTTCCTCTAGCCACATCCAGTCCTGTGAGCCTTTTATCCCATGTTATAGCACATCAGGAATGTATTGTGTCTTTCCCTCTGCACAAAAGAATTTAGAGAGTCAGAGACCATTCTGAGTCCTATCCCTTCCCTCCCTATCCCAGCCTTCCCCAGGATCAGCTTTACTGCCTGAATGAAACCATTCTGCCCGGCCCCCCTCCAGCAAGCAGGCAGGAGTGGACCGCAGCGCGCGGTTGCCAAGGAGACTCTGCCACATCTGATTCTGGCCAAGCCGAGCACCTTCCTTTGCAAAGAGAGCTCTGTGAACAAAGGTGGACATGTCCTCAGGGGAAATGGACTGTTCTGAAAAGGCCCAAGTTCTTTAAAAAACTTTTTTAAAATGTTGCTTTTAAGTAAACTTTTGATCTCAGAATTCAGATTTACAGGGAAGTGGCATACAGTACAGAGTTCCCAAATGCCCTGAGTCCAGGTTTTCCCCTATTGGTGAACACCCTACGTTATCAGGGCACATTTGTCGTGGCTAAGAAATGGACATTGGTGCCTTAGTATTAACCAAGCTGACATTATTTTTGATGTCACCAGTCTTTCATTTGTTTCTCCTCTCTGGTTGATGACCCCGTCCAGAGAACCCCATTGCATCTCCCCGGTCTGGTCTGGGAATACTCTTCTAGCCTTCCTGGCTGTTCATGACCTTGACAGTCTTGGTTGTCCTTTGAGATGCCCCTGACTTAGGTCTGTCTGATGTTTTTCTTATGATTACACTGAGGTTATGGGTTTTATTCAAATCCTTTTAATCCAGATATCCTCCTTTGGGGAGCACCTGTCAAAAAAATTATTGAAGCCTTATGCCTTTGTCAAAGGGAGTTGAAAAAATCACCCAGCCTGTCATCTCCCTTACAAACCCATGCTGTTATCTCCAGGTCGTTGATCTGAGGTGGGGTATTCGGAACACAGAGGCCACTGACCACATGACCACGGAACTCTGCTTGGAAGAGCTTGACCGGTGTCGCAAAACATCCATAGGGCCAGCTTTTGTTGTGAGTCTCTTGGGAAGGATGGGTTTGAGCTCTTACATCTTGTCCTAGCCCAGAAATATGGCCCCCACTTCCTATACAAACACTGTAATGAAGAGGTGTGGCTGGCATTTCTGCTATTGTATCTGACCTCCATAGCCTGCCCATTGTAGACATGGTTAATCGATCACAGTGTTCATTTTCCACAGAGCTAGCTGAGATCCAGACATAGCAGTCAAGTGGCAGCAGTAGGTGAGTTGGACACAAGAGTGTTAAAGCCCAGAGGGATCTCTGAACTTGCTCTGAACTTTTTCCCAGCTTTTCCACCCCATCCACTTTATGTCCCTGGAACTATAAGATCCTGAAAAACCATCAAGAAGATGGAGAACCACAGGGTATCGGCAATATTTTCCTCCCATGGGCCTGGGGTGTTGGACGCAGGCTCTGTGGCCCCATCTAGACCCTGCCTCAGGGGCAAACTCCTTTGGCTCTAGGTAGGGCCGATCTTCCCACATTACAGGGTCTTCCCTTCTCCCCTCCCAACTGCACACGCTCTGTCACCAAAATAACCCCCAGCTCCCAGTTGTTGTTTTGGGCTATTGTCAGCAATGACATTCCAGAGTCTTCATTTACTACAGCACCAAGTTCCAGATATAGCTAACAACTCTGACATTTGGGCTTAGAAATCCTAAAGCAGGGGTCAGCAAACTGCAGTCCATGGGGCAAATCTGGCCCACTACGTGATTTTTATAAATAAAGCTTTATTGGCCCTCAGCTATATCCACTCATTTACATATTGCCCATGGCTGCTGTCCAGCTGTAAGTAGTTTTGAGAGAGGCGGTCTGGTCCACAAGGCAGAAAAGATGGTCTGGCCCTTTCAGAGGAAGTTTGCTGACCTGGGTCCTAGAAAGTAAAGAAGGAAAAATTCCGGAAAATATCTTTGTCCAGCATACCTTCATCACAAAGAAACTTTGAGCAGCTCAAATAAAATGAAAAATCCTCTGGAACCTCTACAAGAGATACGGTAAAATGTAGGAGAGAAGAGCCTCCATTGTAAAAGTGGTTTTCTAGAGAAATAAAGAGAAACAGACAAGGGCTGCTTGTTTTTCAAACTGCAGTATCCAATTATGGTAGCCATAAACCACGTGTGGCGAATTTGAAGTTAAATTAATTAAAATCAAGTAGAATTAAATTTTCACGTCCTCAGTGGTACCAGCCACAGTGCAGTGGCTTGGCAGCCATGGGCGGTGAGTGGCCACTGCACTGGACATCACAGATGAGCACACCTAGCATTGCCAAAACCTGTGCAACTTTAGAGACTAGACCTCTCTACGGTAAACTAAGACGTGGGCAGAGGGTGAGAGAAGCTTTCTTTATTATGTATTAAGTTTTGTCTATACAGTCAGATTTGCATTTCCTTCTTTTGCGCTCTATTTTTCTTTGTATGTTGATACTTTTTTCCTCTGCTATTTTTTTCTTTTTCCCCAGTTTTATTGAGATATAATTGACATGCAGCACCATGTAGGTTTAAGGGGTAGAGCATAATGATTTGACTTACTTATATTGTAAAATGATTACCGCATCAATGTGTTTTGTGAATATCCATCATCTCATAGAGAAATGAAAAAAAATAATTGTTTTTCTTTGTGATGGAACATTTAGCATCTACTCTCTTACCATCTTTCAAATACACCATGCAGGGGTGTTAACTATAGTTATCATATTGTACATTACCTCCCCAGTACTTACTAAGCTTATAACTGAAAGTTTGTACCTTCTGAACCACCCTGTCTAAATTATTATTGTTTTAGAATATGTCCTCATGTTTGGAAGGCTCTCCCCTCCTGCTGGCGTATCTCCTTCACCAATTCCCTCCCCCACCAGTCTTCTAATTTAGTTTTCCAAAAAAGTCTGATAATCATTTTATTGTGTTTCAAAGCAGAAAAGAAGAGAAAACAATTTTTTAAAGAAATGAGGCAGATGGGGAGAAAAAGGACTCCGGGAGGAATTTGATTTTGCAACCCAAACTGCAGGCAGCAAAAAACACAGCGCAGCTTGCAGGGCTCATGGGGGCTGGGAGGATGACCTCTGAGCTTCCCCCAAGCCCAGCCAGCCTGGGGATCTTGCTCCTCCTTCTAGAAGGTCTCCTTGGGCAGCCGGTGGCCCTTCACTGCTTCCTGCTTTCCTCCTGAGCTAGGCATCTCCCCTCTGCCGCCTGCCTGAGAGTCACAGCAACATCTCCAGTCAGTGGCTCAGAATGAGGGTCTGTCCGTGAAAATCAGAGCTGCATGGGGGACCTCAGAGAGGCATCTCTCCAGTAAATAAGTCATTAGGCAGCTCCACTGGGGACAGCGCCCCTAGGCACTTTCTTTTAGAAGCTCTGGGTCTCTGGGGCCACCAGCAGGCAGCTCCAGCATCTCGAGGGAGTTGCTTCTGGCTCCTTGATGTCCTTCTTTTGAGCTCCTCCTGTTTCCCTTGCTCTGGCCCCAGACAGGAGCGTTTTGTACCATCTGTCTCCTTCCTAAGATCTCTTGTTTGTAGTTGGCTGACTGTGCTTCTTGCAACTTCTCCTCCTAGGCTGTCACTGTAGGGAAGGCCCCCGGAGAGTGGAGTCCTGGTCAATAGCCCTCATCACATTTATCTAGGTTTCCCAGGTGCATGCCCCTGGAATATTCGATACAACCCAACGAACGGGAGGGGGTGATTGCTTCCATTTTATAAGGAGGACATCCAAGACTTTGGTCCGGTGTCTTTGGCCTCCTCCAGCCTGATTCTCTCCCGTTCCTGTTTGCACTTTCTCCAAGCATGTTGGGGCAGAAAGAGGGCTTCCTAGGGTCCTTGCCATTAAGACCAATATCTGAGGGCCTTACCATGCCTACAGTCTTGCCCTTGGGGGTGGCATTATCTTTCTCCACAGCCCCCTCCTTGTTTGTGCTTTAGCCCTCCTTGCTTTTCCTGCACTGGTGCTTTGCCACATGTCCTGCCCCAGGGCTTTTGCACATGCTGCTCCCTCTGCTTGCAAGGCATTGCTCCATGCACTCCTTCTGTGTCCTATTCTGCCGCTTGAGCCCCTTGATTCTAAACGAAGACAGCATCTACCCTGCACTACCGAGACCTGCCTGCTCCCAGAGCCACATCATAGAATGTGATTTGGCAGGGCCAATGGATGCTTTGGCTCCTGTCACAGCTCCAGTGCCTATCGATGTAGGAGGAGCTGTAGTTTTCTCATGTGTACAATGACGATCATGGATTTCCTGGGGCTGCCCGAACAAATGACCACAAATCGAGGGCTTCGACAACAGAAATGTATTCTCTCGCAGTCTGGAAGCCAGAAGTCTGAAATCCAGATTTTGACAGGGCTGCACCCCTTCCCAAATTTCTAGGAGAGAACCTTCCCTTGTCGCCTGCAGCTTCTGGGGGCTGCAGGCATTCCTCAGCTGTGGCTGACCACTCCAATCTCTGCTTCCATTAAATTATCTTCCTCTCCTCTTCTGTTTGTGTCAAATTCTCCCTCTGGCTGTCTTTTACAAAGGACTCTTGGGATTGCAGTTAGGGCCTGCCAGATAATCCAGGAAAGTCTCCCCAGCTCAGAGGTCCTTAACTTAATCACATCTGCAAAGTCCCTTGTATTAAGTTTCTCCAGAGAAACAGTACCAACAGGATATCAGGTTGACCCTTGAACAACACAGGTTCGAGCTGTGCAGGTCCACTTATATGCAGAATTTTTTTCCCAGTAAATATATCCTGGAAAAGGTTTTGAAGATTTGTGACAATTTGAAAAAACATTTTCTTTTCCTTAGTTTCCTTGATTGCAAGAATACAGTACATAATACATAACACATACAGAATGTGCATTAATTGAATGTTTCTGTTATTGCTAAGGCTTCCTGTCAACAGGAGGCTATTCGTAGTTAAGTTCTGGGTGTGTCATAAGGTATTGCAGATTTTTGATTGTGCAGGGGGCCAGTGCTCCTAACCCTGCATTGTAAAAGGGTCAACTGTATATCAATATATATATTAGAGGAGATTTACTACAGGGAGTGGCTCACACTGTTATGGACACTGAGGAGTCCAACCGTCTGCCATCTGCAAACTGGAGACTCAGGAAAACCACTGGATAATTCAGCCCAAGTCGTGAGGCCTGAGAATCAGGGCTGATGTCCAGGGACAGGAGAAGATAGAGGTCTGCGCACAGCAGAGAAAGGGAATTCTCTCTTCCTCTCTCTCTCTCCATTCCATTTGGGCTTCCAGAGGAGCCCTTTATGGAGTCTGCGGACTTGATGCTGGCCACCTGCTTTGGGGAGGGCCATCTGCTTCACTCAGCTCACGCCTTCAAATGCTGATCTCTTACCCCCTCACAGACACATCCAGAAATTAGGTTTGACCAGCTAACTGGGCATCCCTCAGCCCCAGCAAGTTGGCACCAAAAACTAACCAATTCAATTCTTTTATCCATGTAAGGTACATTCACAGGGTCCAGGGACAAGGACAGGGTATCTTTGGGGGCCATTATTCAGCCCACAGGGAGTTTTCTAAGCAAAAAATTCTATAATGCTTTGTGCATGGTCAGATTCACAGTCTACCTGGCCCATGTCCTGAGCTCAGGTACCTGCATACGGGTGTCCCAAGGCTCTGGGTGTTATGACCTTAATGTGATCAATAACGTAACAATCTCTTCATGTGATTATCCCAGTGGCACTGCAGCCAGGCCCATTGTTAGGGGCTCAGCGTTCATCACCCAGGGTCACAAGCTGAGTGTCCGAGTGGAGGTTGGAAGCTGTACCCCTCTCGCTGCCAGGCCCTTGTAGGTGACCAGTACGGACCCTGTCCAGTCCCCACGCTGATCGAAGAAAAGGAGTGGGAGGCACTGAGAGCCCAGCTGACTTACAGACCACAGGACCTAGAGCTGGTGGCTCGACGCTTTCGCAGGGACGAGAACGCAGTGCCCCCTGCCTACCTGCTGCAGGCCCCTGGTGCTGGGGAGCCCCACGGACCCGAGGAGGCCACCTTGACCTCTGTGCTGCGCTCCGGAGCTCAGGAGGCCTGGAGGCTGGGCCTCATCACCCAGGAGCAGTGGCACCGCTACCACCGGTCAGGTGAGGCTGCTGGGATTCCCCTCAGGGTCCACAATAAATGCCCCCACGTTCAAAGACGCATCTCCCAGTCCAAACGCTGTGGTCTGTGTTTCTGTGAAAGCTAAACCAACAAAGTGTCCAGGCCCCTGGTTGTGAAAAAAGGTTATTTTGTTGATCCAAGATAGTTCAGCTAGATCTCTGTCCATTCTCCATCTCTTAGGGCTCTCTCTCCCCCAGCTCCTCCGTCCCTTCTCCCAGGCAGGCCGCTGGCTCCACGGGAGGTGTTCCAGGACAGCCACCAGCCGGGTTTGCCCGGGACCTCTGGGCCAAGCCTAGACAGCCCCGGGAACACTGGGCCAGTGGGCCACTGGTGTTAGCCCAAGGGCTGGCCCCTGCCTGCTCGGAGGTGGGAGCCGAGGCCCAGGGAAGTGGAGGCTCCTCTGGCCCTGTGGCCGCCAAGCTCCCTGCGGCTTCCTACCTCCCACCTCTGACCTCATCCTCCATCCCTTCCGTCCTCTACACCAGCTACTAGAAACATTTTTCTAAAAATGCAGTGTCATTAAGCCATTTCCCTGTGGCTTGCTGCCAGCACAAGACAGGTTCTTACTATTGTTTACAGATTAGTGACTTGATAGTTTATGGATTATTAGTATATCAATATATATCACCAAAAATATTAAATTTATGAATTTACATTACCCAAACTATTAAGTATATAAATTTATATTACTAGAAGTATTAATAGTTGAATTTACACTATCAACATATTAAATATATGACTGTACATGATCAACATAGTAAACATGGATTTATAATATAAACACATTAATATATGGATTTATTTAAAGATCTTGAATGTAGTAATTTATATTAATTTTATTAAAATATATTAATTTATATTACCAAACTATTAAATATATGAATTTATATTAGAAATATGAAACCTATGGACTTACACTATCAACATATATATGAATTTATATTATCGACATATTAAATATATGGATTTATGTTCAACATTTTAAGCATATATGTTTATTTAAATATGTTGTAGTTATATTAATCACATTTTATTTTTATTAAAATGTTACATATTAATTCTAGTGGTGACATTACAATTTTTAAAAGTAAACTTTTTATTAGGTGATAATTTTAGATTTAGAGGCAAGTCACAATGTTACAAAACTTTACAGATAGTCCAGGGTTTCCATATGGTCTTCACTTGTTCACGAATTGTGTGACCACAGTACATTTGTGGAACTAAGATATTAACTTCAGTACTTAACGTCTGTCCATGAAGATCAACTAGATTCCACTTACTTCAGATTTCATCAGTTTCCCCATTAATGTCTTTTCTGTCCCAGGATCCCATCCAGAACCCCATGTTGCGTTTAGTGGCCATGTCCCCTAAGGCACCTCTGGACTGTCACAGTTTCTCAGTCTTCCTTTGTCTTTCACAAATTTGACAGTGTTGAAGAGCGCTGATGGGATCTTTTGTAGAAGGTCCCTCAATCTGGGCTCCTCTGATGTTTTCTCATAATTAGATTGGGATCTTAGGTTTTGGGGAGGAAGACCACATCCCCATCCCATCATTTCAGGGCTACTAAGGCCCACCTGACTGCAACAGGTGGTGCTCACCTTGGTCCTTTGGTTAGGACTGGAAATGACCTATCAAGTTTGAACACATTGTTGATGTGAATAATGGTAAGGCTGCTGCTGCTCATCCTGCACTTACTATGTCCTTAATGCTTGCGCTCTGACAGGAAGTCAAATGTGCTCATTGCTTTCATAAAGGTGTCTGCCCCTTGGACCGTAATCAGCACCCGGGGTCTGTGCTTGGGAGGGGCCTGGACTTGTGGCTCAGCTGTGCTTCTTTCCGGTTGTAAGGACCTTCTGCAGGCTCAGAGTCTCAGTTTCCTCATTAGTAAAATGGAACTAGTCACAATGGAGTCATTGTGTGGATAGCATGTTTTGTCCCAGCCATGATCTCATTCAAGTGATAAGCAGCAAGTCAAAGCTAGCCAGTGAAGAATTTCCACTTGAAAGAACAAATAGAAACTCCTTGAAAGTAGCAGAAAGCACAAATAAATGCAGCAACAGTGTCTTCAGAACCTATTATTTTCTGAGCATCTTGCTCAACATTTTTTTTAACCTTTTTATTTTGAAATAGAGATTCACAAGAAGTTGCAAAAAGAAATAGTAGGAAGAGGTTCCCCTGTATCCTTTACCCCGTCTCCCCCAAAGGCAGCATCTGGCAAAACTAGAGTTTTTTGAAACAATATTACAACTGAGAAGTGGACATTGTTACAATCCAGAGAGCACCATTTTTATAAGTATACATTTAGGCCTGTGTGCCTGTGAGCCTGTGAGCCTGTGAGCTGGCATGTATTGTGCATGTGTATTTCATTCTTTGAAATTGCTCATCTTTGTAGTTTTAAGAACTCACCTCAGTGGATACACAAGACTGTTTCCTCCCTGCAAGAATCCCTCCCACTCCCCATGCCCTCCAATTCCCAGCCCCTGGCAGCCACTAACCGCACTCCACCTCTCTAATTTTATTTCAACAATGCTATACAAGATGGGAATGCCATTTTGAAAATGGCTTTGTTCCTTCAGCGTAACATGGTCAGCTTTTCACAAACATGATTTCTTAGGAAATCCTGACAACAGCCCCATCAAGGTTGAACTAGTATATGCATGTTACTGTAGAGGAAATGAACTCAGAGAGGTGCAGTGATTTGCCCAAGGTCACACAGCCTGCAGGTGGATTAGTTCATGCTGAAATGTGTCCAGGAAGGATCCCATTTCAGGACTGTGAGTTGCCTTCACCCCTGACCTCCATTCATGAGGCTGAGGGGGATGTGAGACCCTTCCAGGGAGGACTTTCAAGTGGCTCTTGTCTTTGGCTCTGAGACTGAGTTCTTTCTCCAAGGTCCTGACTTGCTCAGCTGCAGTGATCTGGGAGCCTCTGCTGAGCCCAGAGTGGCTTGGGAAATAACTCCTGGATCTGACTGCTATTCCAAAACAGCAGCCTCCAAGAAGTCAGTGTAAGCTCTAAATCTGGAAAATAAGGGTCTCCAGGGCAGTTGCTCTGGGACAGGGGTTAGCAAGCTGTGGCACAAGGGTCAAATTTGGCCCATTACTTGTTTTTGTAAATAAAGCATTGGAACACACTCAAACACATTGGTTTGCATGGTGTCTGTGGGTGCTTTCACACTACAACAGCAGAGTTAAGTATTAAGTAGTTGTGACAGGGACCATCTGGCCTGTGAAACCTAAAATATTTACTGTCTGACCCTTTACAGAAAAACTTGTGAAAGGAAGAAAAAAAGGACACAAAGAAAGAGAAATGTCCTGACCTTTGTGCTCAGCCTCCAGGCTAATTAAAAACTCTCTGCCTGGCTCTATGCCTTTGCAGTGGTTTTTCTGCAGTCTCAAATGCCTTGCCCACCCTTCTCTGCGTAGGATAGACAGATACTGTCCTCCATCCGTCTGTCTGTTTATGTGTCCATTAATTCATTAACACTGGAATATCCACTCCATAAGAGCAGTGGGGACCTCTGTGTGTTTTGCTCACTGCTGGACCCTGAGTATGGAGTACAGAGGCTGGCACAAGCAGGAGCTCAATAAATGTTTGTTGAATGAATGTGTGATAGAGGCACTCAGAAATGATTGCACTGGAGTTTTTATTAAAGTAAAATTCACATATCATGAAATCAACCATTGAGAGTGAATAATTCAATGGCATTTAGCACACCCATAATATTGTGCAACCATTATCTCTGTCTAGTTACAGAACGTTTCCCTAATCCCAAACAGAGACTGCATCCTCCTGAGCAGTCACTCCCCATCCCCCTCCTAGTCCCAGCAACTGCTAATCTGCCTTCTGTCTCTAAGGATGCTCTGCTTTTGGATGTTTCACATACGTGGACTCATACAACATGTGTCTGTTGCCTCCTTTCATATAGCATGATGTTTTCAAGCTTCACCCGCATTGTAGCATGTAGCTACTTTATTCCTTTTGATGGCTGAGTAATATTCCGTGGTATGGATGGACCACATCTTGTTCATGCATTCATCATGTAATGGGCACTGGGTTGTTTCCACCTTTTGGCTATTGTGAATAGCGCTGCTATGAACACGTGTGTACATGTACGCATTTGAGTGCCTGTTTTCAGTTCTATTTGGGTCCATACCTATGAGTGGAATTGCTGGGTCCTGTAGTCACTGCAGGTTTAATTCTTGAGTCTGATGGTATTGTTTATAATGGGGCTGCATCTCACACACAATCTCCATGTTGCCTACACCACGGTTTCTTTATTAATAATGGCTAAATCAGTGCTAGTCTTAGTGCAGCCCCTGGACCAGCAGCCTCAACATCATCTGGGAGCTTGGTGGAAATGCAGACCCACGGCCCCCTCACACCTGCTGATCCCAGCTGGGTGGGTTTTCTCGAGCCTCCAGGTGACTGGCAAACTAGGGTCCTTGGGCCCAATCCCACCTGTTGCTTGTTTTTATTAAGTAAAGTTTTATTAGAACACTCTTGAGCACATTAGTTTGCATGTTGTCTGTGGTTGTGCCAGGTGACTCCAGTGCACATTAGGCTGGAGAACCTATGGCCCCAACCCCTAACTCTGTCTCCCCAAGTGTCCCCCCACTTGGGCCAGCTGATGACCCAACAATGACTACTCTCTGTCCCCATTTCCGACACTTTTTTATAGTCATCGAGTGGGAGATACAACGGGGCCTGCTGAGCCCAGCAGGTGGGCACCAAGGAGCTACTGTTTTCCTGAGAGAGATCCAAGACCTCAACAAACACATCCTGGAAGACTGTGCCCTCAAGATGGTGGACCGGCTTGCAGACGGCTGCCTGGACACAGATGCCCAGAACCTTCTCAGCAGCCTCAAGGGGCGCATCGCTGACACACAGCCTGGAGTTCTCAAGGCCCACCATCTGCCGTGGAGCCAAGACCTGGTGAACCCCAAGAATAAGGCTCATGCCCGGTACCTGAAGGAGCTTGGGGAGCAGTTTGTGGCCAGGGCCAACCACCAGGTCCTTGAGCACCTCCGGGAGCTGGAGGTGGGCAGGCAGGAGTTGGCCTGGCTCTACCAAGACATCCGCCACCACCTGGGGCTGAGTGCTGAGGCCACCCGAACCTTTTGTGGTCGCCAGGAGCTCCTGGCACAGCTGGGGCAGCAGCTCCGACAGAGCGACAGCCACCCCCACATGCCCCTGGTGCTTTTTGGTCCCCCAGGCATCGGAAAGACAGCTCTGATGTGCAAGCTGGCCGAGCAAATGCCGGGGCTGCTTGGCCGCAAGACAGTGACCGTCCTGAGGCTCCTGGGAACGTCACAGATGAGCTCTGATGCCCGAGGTCTGCTCCAGAGTGTCTGCTTCCAGGTGTGCCTGGCCTATGGGCTGCCCCTGCCCCCTTCCCAGGTCCTGGAGGCCCACTCCAGGCTGGTCCAGTTTTTCCACATCCTCCTGCATACTGTCTCCTGTCGAAACTTTGAGTCCCTCGTGATCCTGCTGGATTCCCTGGATGATGTGGCTGCCATCTGCCGTGCACGGAGGGTCCCCTGGCTTCCTCCCCTGTGCCCTCCGAGGGTCCACCTTATCCTCTCGGCCTGCTCAGGGCAGCAGGTTTTGGACACTGTGCGGCGGACGCTCCAGGACCCCAAGGCCTACTGGGAGTTGAGACCCCTTTCTGGAAGCCAAGGACAGGAAATGATTCAGCTCCTGCTGGCAGCCTCCAGGAGGACACTGAGCCCGGTGCAGAGGGACCTGCTCTGGGCCAGCCTCCCAGAGTGTGGGCACCCGGGCCGACTAAGGCTGGCTTTTGAGGAGGCCCGGAAATGGGCCTCGTTCACTGTGCCCACCCCTCTGGCCTCCTCTGCCAAGGAAGCCATGCACCAGCTGTGTGCCCGCCTGGAGCAAACACACGGGCAGCTCCTGGTGGCCTGCGTGCTGGGCTACATCGCCTCTTCCCGGTAAGTCTGTCATTTTCACTCTGTTCTATTTGAGATAAAACACATGGATTCATTTCCTAGGTAACAAATAAACCGGGTGGCTTAAAACAACAGAAATGTGTTCTTTCCCAGTTCTGCAGCCAGTCTGAAATCAATGTGTCACCAAGGCCACACTCCCTCTGGTGGTGCTAGGGGAGAATCTGTTCTAGGCTTTTCTGTAAAATTTCTGGTGTTGCTGGCATCCGTTGGCGCTCCTTGGCTAGTAGGTGACTCGCTCCAGGCTCTGTGTCCCACGTCCTGGGCCAATCTTGATGCTGTGAATTCCCCTCTTCTCAAAAGGACCCAACTCATGTGGAACCTTGGAGGAGAGCAGGTTTGGGGTTTGATAGACACAGTCCTGAGCTACCGTCGTGTACGTACCCTCCCCCTGGCAACCAGCAATCCACTTTCTATCTCTATGGATTTGCCTGTGGTCTTGCTTTTGTAAAAGGTTTACATTGTAATACTTTCAAATTCTAGACTAGTTAAGAACTGCTGAAGTGCAAAGAATTCCCATACATCAGGTTTCTCAGCTTTGATGCTACTGATATTTGGGGCAGGATCATGCTTTACAATGTGGGGGTCTGTCCTGTGCACCATAGGCCATCTATCTGCTGGATGCCAGTGGTACTCACTCCCATTGCTTGGGACAGCCAAAAATGTCCCAGGACATTGCTCAGTGTCCCCCTTGTAAGTCCAGGGAGAGGAAATCCTGAGGCAAAATACCTCTAAAAACCGAAATCAGTCGAAGGGGTTGCTTACAAACTGCAGTCCAGGGCCCTCTCTGTCCTCTGCTCCTGACGAAGCAAGCCAGCAAGCAAACCAGCCCCTCCCTTTAAACACTCAGGTTCAGACATGCCCTCGGTTGCCCAGGTAATTACCCATTGACCTGGAGATGACCTTCTCTCCACCCCTGAGGATATGCAAATGTACTAAAGCCCAGAGATACTCTGGAAATGTTACAATTTTACCTACGACCCTGCAGGCAGAATAGGCCCTAGTTGAGAACTACAGCCCTACATTTTCCCCCACATCCCTAGTTGGCCTGTTGACTTTCTCTTCTCTCTCTCTTTCTTTCTATTTTTCTTCTTATCTGTCTGTCTGTTATCTATCCATCTATCCATCCACCCACTGAGCTATCTATTGATCTATACACACACAGTTTTTCCCAGAACCATTTGGAATTCACAAGATCATTCTCTTTTACCCTTAAATAGGTCACATATTTCCTGAAAACAAGGACAACCAGAACCCCGCATCGCCAAGAGACAGTCATAAAACCCAGGAAATGTATCACAGATGCAATACTATTATTTAATACACAGTTTATCATCAAAATTTGTGAACTGTCTCAAAACTGTCCTTTATAGCTGTCCCCTTCACACCCAGTCCAGGTTCCAAACTGGGATCACGTGTTGCATTTCGTTGGCAGGTCTCTCTTGTCTCATCTAATCTGCAACATTATGCCGTCTGTCTTTGTCCGTTTGAAGAGGACAGGCCAGTTATGTCATAGATTGGCGTTCCTCAACTTTCAAAGGGTAGAGGCGCCTTGAGCCTTGTTTCTGAGTAAGGACTGATTCAGCGGGTCTGGGATTCCTGCGTTTCTCCTGATGCTGCCGGCCCAGGGACCACACTTACGATGGGAGCTAGTTTGCAGAGTGTCCCTCCCTCTGGGTTGATGGGATGGGATTACATTCAGGTTAAATCTCAGTGTCCTTGTTGGGTATGGCATTTTTTTCCCCACTGTAAATTTGCCATGTTCCCCTTTGTAATTAATAAGCAATGCATAGGGAGATCTCAGAAAAAGTCTTTCAAACGCAACGTCCCTGAAGGATCAGCTGCAATCCTGTGTCTCCATGTGCTTGTAGCATGGGAACCAGCAGAAAGCATAGGAAAATCCAATTCCATTGTGTTTTATAGCATCTGAAGGAATGCAGGCTTCCATGAGGTTGCTCAGAGAAAGCCTCAGGTGTGTGGACTCCAAGAAACCTGGGTCCTGACGGTCAGGAATGATTTGCTCAGAGACGCTGGGTATGGATAGTCAGTCAGAAGTAATGAGCAGGAGAGGAGTGTGTTCATCACATGCACCCAGCAGCCCAACTCCCTCCCCTGGGAGGCTGGGCGGGAGGCCAACTAGCAGACGCCCGGGAGACAAGGCTTTGCCTTCATGAAAATGACCATCTGAAAACACCCAAGCCCATCAGAGATGCAGAATAATGCAGTTTTGCCATCTCAGTTTGGAAGGCAGTCTGTTCTTTTGCTCTTTGTCTTTCACCACAAATCAGGCAAGGTGGCAGCAATCAGTCCAGTGTGGGGGACTTTTTGTTTGTTTGCCAGGAGCAGAATCTCACTCATGCTGGTGCACAAGAAATGTGGGCTTTATGCCAAGGCCATGGGAAGAGGTTGGGGAATCCCGGGCCAACCCATTGCTGACACCAGGGGGCACCCCCCACATTTTGTACCCCACATTTTGCAACTGGTGCCCCAAATTGGGACTCTGACCTGGATTCTACAAGAGTACAAAGACAGACATTGGAATGTTCTAGAATAAAGGGCCACCAGGCCAACGAGATGACGCCTACATGGAGGAGGCAGGGTTGCCATGGGAACTGAGAAGCCTGGGGAATGAGGGTGGTCTCTCATCCCCTCTCCTGCTGGGTCCTCTTTGCACATTGGTTTCTGTTCTAGGCTCTCTCTCTCTCCCCTCCCGAAGGTTAGCTGGCTTCAAGCTTCCGTCGGCACCATGGGCTCCCATTTCGGGGATCTGCCATCTCACTCGCTCGTTCTTGAGTCCTGATTCCAAAATCCAGGGACACAGGAATCAGTTGGTGTACGTGGATCCACGTCTGGTCCAAGTCACAGAGCTGAGAGCATCACAGGCTAGAGGAACCCTCTGCCTCCAGGGGCTGGCCTGGATTGCAATAAGCAGGCTTTGGCAGCATGGGAAAATGGCCCTGCCCAGTGATTGTTCACAGGTCGTCATCTGCTCTTCTGCCCCTTTTGGGTCTCCTGCTCCTTACTGTAAGTTCTTGTTGATGACGCCTAGATGGACCAGGGGCAGAGGGGGCATTCCCCCTAGATCGGCAGTGGTCAGCAGCGAGCACAGGCAGTACGACGCTGTGGGCTCCTATGTATATGAAACATCCAGAACAGGCAAATCCGCAGAGACAGAAAGCAGGGCGGTGGGTGCTGGGGGCTGTGGGAAAAGGGCTTGTGTGCCGAATCATGGTGGTAGCTCACGGCTGTGTCTGCCCAAGTATCTTGCCCCCAAACCTGCTCCCATCCAGGACTCCCCATTTAGGAATGGGATCACCGTCTGTGTAACCAGGAGCTGTTTCTGTCCCCTCTCCTTCCCCCTCCTCCTTCCAGAACCAGCAAGTCCTCTTGGCTCTGCCTTCAAGACATCCTCAACCAGCCATTCTTTCCATTGCTACTGTCCCCACGTTCGCCACCGCCTTTCCCACCCACACGATTGCCTTGCCCTTCACTTTTCTGCATGTCCCTTTAATCTCCCACAAGCCCCTTCCCCAGAGAGGCAAGAACGAGACTTTTTTAAAAGATAAACTTTTAATTTTTGAATGATTTTAAATTTACAGAAGAGACGCAGAGGTCCTACGGGAAGTTCCCGTAGACCATTCTCCTTGTTTTCCTAATGCGACACCTGGCATAACCAGAACACTGCTGTCAAGACGGGGCCATTAACCTTGGTGCCTGACTATGAACTCAACTCTAGACTTTGCTTGGATTTCACCAGTTTTTTTCCCATGAATTTTTCTGGTCATACAGCCAATTTAGGATTCCTCATGGCATTTAGCAGGAGTGAGATTATTTAATTGCACTAACCTTCACTTAATGTAAAACCTAAAATTTAAAGGATACAATTCAATGGCATTTAGTACATTAATAGTGTTGTGCAGTCATCACCTCTGTCCAGCTCCAAAGCATTCTCATCCCCCCTGAATATACTCACTGCACCCATTAGCATTCACCCTCCAACCCCCCTCCCCAAGCTCCTGGCAGCCATTAATTTACCTTCTATCTCTACGAATTTGTTCTGGATATTTCATATAAATGGAGTCATAGAACATGCGGTCTTTTGTGACTGATATCTTTCACTTAGCATGTTTTCAAGGGTCATCCATTTTGTAGTACATGTCAGTACTTTGTTCCTTTTTATGACCAAATAATACCCTATTGTTTCCATGGACCACTGTCTTAGCCCATCTGGGCTGCCATAACAAAAATACCACAGACTGGGTAGCTTATAAACAACTTATTTCTCATAGTTCTGGATGCTGGGAAGTTCAAGGTCAAGACACCAGCAGATTGGGTGTCTGATGGAGCCATTTTCTGGTTCATAATGGTCTTCTTGTCCTCACATGGCCAGCTTCTTGTCCTCAAGGGAGCTCTCGGGGGTCCCTTTTGAAAAACATTGATTTATTTATTTTTCATTTTTTATTTTGGTATCATTAATATGCAGTCACATGAGCAACATTGTGGTTACTCGATTCCCCCATTATAAAGTCCCCACCACATACCCCATTATAGTCACTGTCCATCAGTGTAGTAAGATGCTATAGAGCCACTACTTGTCTTCTCTGTGCTATACTGCCTTCCCCTGCCCACACGTTATGTGTGCTAATTGTAATGCCCCTTATTCCCCTTCTCCTTCCCTTCCCACCCACTCTCCCGGGTCCCTTTCCCTTTGGCAACTGTCAGTCCATTCTTGGGTTCTGTGAGTCTGCTGCTGTTTTGTTCCTTCAGTTTTTGCTTTGTTCTTAGGCTCCACAGATGAGTGAAATTATTTGGTGCTTGTCTTTCTCCGCCTCCGCCTGGCTTATTTCACTGAGCATAATACCCTCTAGCTCCATCCATGTTGTTGCAAATGGTAGGATTTGTTTTCTTCTTATGGCTGAATAATTTCCATTGTGTATATGTACCACATCTTCTTTATCCATTCATCTATTGATGGGCACTTAGGTTGCTTCCATTTCTTGGCTATTGTAAACAGTGCTGTGATAAACATAGGGGTGCATATGTCTTTTTCAAACTGGGCTCCTGCATTCTTAGGGTAAATTCCTAGGAGTGGATCGGGGGTCCCTTATATAAAGGCACTGATCCCATTCACAGGGGCTCTACCCTCATGACCTCATCACCTCCCCACCTCCAAACACCATCACCTTGGGAATTGGTACTTCAACATATGAACCCGGGAGATACACACGTGTTCAGTTCATGGTGACCATATTTTGCTCACCTGTTTGTCCATTGATGGACATTTGTGTGGCTTCCACCTTCCAGCTACTATGAATAATGTTTCTCTGAGCACACATATACAAGTTTTAGATTGAACGCCCGTCCAGAGTGAAATTTTAAAATCATTAATCAGACTGAGTTTCTTGCCAATATTAAACTCTTCCAGTGGCTTTGCATTGCTTTGGTAAAAGTGTCCAAACTCCTTACCAAGGCTTACTGGCTCTGGCTGCTTCCCATTCCCCTGCCTGGAGCACCCTTGCCCAGATTCCCTTGTGCTGGCTCCTTCCTTCCCACATGTTCTCCACTCCGATGGCACCTTCTCAGAGAGACCCGCCTGCTCCAAGAATCACCTCTCTCCCTGCCCCTCATCTGTTGCTCTCTTTCATGTGACTTGGTTTATCTTCCTCCTAACCATTGTTACCCCACCTCTTTGTGTTTTTGTTTTTTTTTCATTATTTCCTACCTGGCTCTGTGCACTAGAAGGTAAGCTTTCTAGGTGTCTAGCTCCCTTCCTCTCGGGGTTAGCATGATGCCTCGCACAGAGACCACACTCCGTGGATAGTGCTTATGCCGATGTGCCAGTTCTCTATGCATGAGTCAGCGACCCTCCAGGGTGTGGCTGTCTGCTTCTCTGAGAATGAATGGGCTGGCCTGGCCTCCGTCCAGAGGGCCCCCTACAGCGACGTGATGCCAGAGAATTATGTGGCTATGGCTGCTTTGGGATATCCATTTCTTCTGGGATTCCCGTCTCGATCAGGGAGACAAGCCAGTAAATCTGAAGCAGCAGATGATCCAAGCCTGGTTTGTACTAAGGGTGTGTCAAAGGGTGGCAAAGAAGATTCTATTCTGGAGAGCAATTTTTGAGGAGACACAGGACCCTACATTGGTTCTATCAAGTAGACCCTGATGGTGTGTGGCCCCCAGGAATTCTGGTTTGGAAAAACATATCAAGAAGAGAAAAGCAGGTTGTAGAGACGTCCTAGCTACCCCAGTAGATGAGGTGCTGGTGATACTATAGAAGTGATTCTCAAAGATGAGATGAGCTCATAGACAGGATCGCAGAGACCGATGTTAGCGTCCATCTTATTGCCTCGGAAAACCCCGGGGGAGCAGGTATTCTATATACAGGAAGAATGTGCCGAGTGTTTTGATCAAAATGAAGCTTCCATCAACATCAGAGAATGTTGGAAAACCTAATGGGGGTCTGCCTCCTGTGAGGTGCAGGCAGAAGCCAGCCTTCCTCTGCCTTGCTCTGAAATGAATTCCGATGGTTCTCCATCTCTAATGAAATTGGCAGGCACATCCCACAGTTTTCCAGTCTGGTGCCCATAGGTACTAGAATGCCGGTTCCAGTCCAGCACTGCAGCTTTGACCACTCTTCCTATGTAAAGCCTCTTCCTTTCTCTAGCTCAGGCCTAGAAACGGGAGGTGGGCTGCCGTAGGCCCAGTGGGCTGAATTACTTTCCTGAGTCACCTCCTCTCTCCCTGCCTGTGCTTGCTGTCTTATGTAAGGTTGGGGAGGGGTTGGTTCACAGTTCTGCAGGTGTGGAGCATAGAAGGAAAGATCAGGAAGGATCTTCCAGGATGGGTACAGCATCAACCAGGCTGGGCACCTGCGGGTTTGAACGCTTCGGCGATCTGCAAGACACAGTGCTGCTGGCCATGCCTCTCTCCCTCCCCCAGCATCTGCATCCTCCAAATGCAAGAGCCACCGGTGTACTCCAATGTCCTGTCCCTCCTCCCCACAGGCAGGGACTCTCAGAGGCAGAGCTGAAGGATGTCCTGTCGTTAGATGATGAGGTCCTGCAGTCCGTGTACCGGGACTGGACACCTCCCAGCAAAGAACTGCTGCGTTTCCCGCCCCTGCTGTGGGTGAGGCTGCGTCGTGATCTGGGTAATTATTTGGCCAGGCGGCCTGTGGATGGCTTCACGCTCCTGGCCATCGCCCACAGGTGGGTCCACTGTGGGGGTCAAGTGTACAATTCAGACACATTTAGTGCATCACAATGCTGTGCAACCCTCGCCTCTAAATAGCTTGAAAACATTCCCATCACCCCCAAATGACATCTCATCCCCCAGCAATCTCTGTCCCCCTCCCCCAGGCCCTGGCAACCACTAATCTGCTGTCTCTGTGCATTTGCCTGTTCTAGACATTTCATGCACATGGGGTCACACGACGTGAGGTTTTTGTGTCTGGCTTCTCTCACTCGTCATGATGGTTTCAGGGTTCATCCACACTGTAGCATGTGCTCATGCTACATCCCTCGTTATGGCTGAGTCATATTCCACTGCGTGGATGGACTCCATTGGGTTTATCCATTTCATCTATTGATGGACACGTGGGTTGTTTCTACCTTTTGGCCCTTGGGAATAGTGCTGCTGTGAACCTATATGTCTAAGTTTTTATTTGGGCACCTATTTTTCAATTCTTTGGGGGATATAGCCAGGAGCAGAATTGCAGGGTTATACAGTGACTTATATTTAACTTATCAAGGAGCTCAAAGCTTCCAGTTTAAAGTAAATTTGCTTAAGGGAAAAAAAAGGATGGTCCCATTTAGAGGTAAATGTTAAGTAACAAAATAGGTGGCCCATCAACCCAGTGAACATCCTGAAAATGGGTTAGGATGGAGCTGCATTTGGAACTGCGTCCTGGGAGGCCAGTGGCCACCTCCAGACTTGCCAGGTCCCCCAGGCCCCATCAGCACATGTCCCCTCTCTGCAGACAGCTGGCCGAGGTGGTCCAAGAGCGCTACCTGTCTGGGCCCAACAGAGCCAAGAGACATGGCATCCTGGCCGACTACTTCTTGGGGGCCTGGAGCCAGGGCACCAAGAAACTCATCACCCTGCCACTTGTGGGGAAGCCCCTGAACCTGGACCGTAAGGTGAGGCGCCATCCGGGACTCCTGCTTCCCCCTTTGCAGTGCCCACCCTGCTATGCACACATGGCTGAGGCTGCCCGGCAAGGACCACCCATCTCCTTCCTTCCCTCGTTCCCACCCCGATGCCCTCCTGACCTCCTTCCCTTCCCACAGAGGGGGTGAGGATCTTCTCCATCACCAAGCATCATTTGGGGGTTGGGAGCAACAGATGAGGGTATGATTCCCCCTGACATTCCAGAGGTGAAGAAGTTCACAGCATTCAGAAGCATATCCGAACTGCCTCCGACTCCTGGTATCTCATGGTTTTATTTCACTGAGTCCAGTTCCTCCTGAGCACACCAGTTTCCCCCCGTCTTTCTGGGGGGCACTTGACACACTGTGAAGTCCCTGGCACGATCGGATTTTCTAGTCTTTGGCTCCCCACATGAATCGCTGATATTAAAAATAACATTTGCTTTGTTTTTTAGTATGGAAAGTGATCTGTGATGGTTCTGGAACACAGAGAAGATCGAACAGTGAAATAAAGGCTGCCCACAATCTCTCCTACCAGGAAGACTCTCCCACACTCCTTCCCCCATCACTAGCCACACATTTCCTTACAGCTGTTCTTCTCCTGTGCCTGCCCAGGAGCTCTCAGACCTGGCGTCCTTAGCTTGCATGTCATTCCCTTGGTGTTTTGTTTTGGTTTTGCCTCTCAAACACCTCAGGCTCAGCATAAATGCCTCTTCCTTCAGGAAGCCTTCTGGGATTTCTTCCCTTCTCTATTGCTTATTCTTTTCTCCTCGCCCACTTCCCTCTAAAACAGAACTTGAAAACATTTTTTAGTTTCCAAATCATTTTAGATTTATGGAAGAGTTGCACGTGGAGGGGGCAGAGAGTGCCTGTGGACCCTCCCTCAGTTTCCCCTAATGTTGGCATCTTCCGTGAACTGTAGCGCAATGAGTTCAACTAGGAAATATGCAGTTAAGTCTTCTTTAACAGTTTGATTTTTTTCCTTTTTTCTTTATCGTCCCTGCTGGACAGGAGAGGCCAGAGACAAAGCCAGGCCTGATTCTCTTTGGTGCTGCCTTTTCTCCTCATTGGCGACTCAGAGACTCTCTCCTCTATGGCCAGAACCCTTGCAGGCTCAGCCTCTTTCTCTCCCTCCGGGACGTGTCTATCCTCCTCCGGGGTCGCCCAAGCCTGCGGACCTTTTGCTACAGTCTTTTCTCCTGGGGAATGCCCTGACAATGCAATCTGATCATGCCTGCCCTCTAACACCTCCCTAGCTCCCGGGTGCCCTCTATCTCCAGTGTGACCTCCTCAGCCTAGTATTCAGTGCCTTCGAGCTCTGCTACCTACAGCCTCTGCAGTTGCATTCTCTGCCATGATCCCCCACTCTGCTTTATGATTCAGCTCTTCTGAACCTCTCACCCTGCTGTCTCCCACCTCCTGTGCATGGCCATTCCTTTGCCCTGTGATGTCGTCATTTTCTGACACATTTCACCAGACAGACTCCTACTTATCTTCTGAGGTCCAGCAACAATGTCCCTTGGATTCCCTGAGCCTTAAGTCCCTCCCTCTGCCCCAAACCATTGCGTGTGTGCTGTCTGGAACTGTATTCCCAAACTCTCCAGCTTCACCAGGTGCCCAGCCTTGCCCATGTCTGTGGAGGGAATGAATGAGCTTGTGTCATAGTGGCCTGGCTACCAGCCCCCTCCTCCTCTGCAGGTGGCCCCTCAGCCCCTGTGGTTCTCAGACACTGTTGCAAACCTGAGGAAACTGAAGGAGTTGCCCCATCACCTGCTCCACTCGGGCCGCATTGAGGAGCTGAAGCAAGAGGTTACCCCGTCTTTCTGGGGGGCACTTGACACACTGTGAAGTCCCTGGCACGATCGGATTTTCTAGTCTTTGGCTCCCCACATGAATCGCTGATATTAAAAATAACATTTGCTTTGTTTTTTAGTATGGAAAGTGATCTGTGATGGTTCTGGAACACAGAGAAGATCGAACAGTGAAATAAAGGCTGCCCACAATCTCTCCTACCAGGAAGACTCTCCCACACTCCTTCCCCCATCACTAGCCACACATTTCCTTACAGCTGTTCTTCTCCTGTGCCTGCCCAGGAGCTCTCAGACCTGGCGTCCTTAGCTTGCATGTCATTCCCTTGGTGTTTTGTTTTGGTTTTGCCTCTCAAACACCTCAGGCTCAGCATAAATGCCTCTTCCTTCAGGAAGCCTTCTGGGATTTCTTCCCTTCTCTATTGCTTATTCTTTTCTCCTCGCCCACTTCCCTCTAAAACAGAACTTGAAAACATTTTTTAGTTTCCAAATCATTTTAGATTTATGGAAGAGTTGCACGTGGAGGGGGCAGAGAGTGCCTGTGGACCCTCCCTCAGTTTCCCCTAATGTTGGCATCTTCCGTGAACTGTAGCGCAATGAGTTCAACTAGGAAATATGCAGTTAAGTCTTCTTTAACAGTTTGATTTTTTTCCTTTTTTCTTTATCGTCCCTGCTGGACAGGAGAGGCCAGAGACAAAGCCAGGCCTGATTCTCTTTGGTGCTGCCTTTTCTCCTCATTGGCGACTCAGAGACTCTCTCCTCTATGGCCAGAACCCTTGCAGGCTCAGCCTCTTTCTCTCCCTCCGGGACGTGTCTATCCTCCTCCGGGGTCGCCCAAGCCTGCGGACCTTTTGCTACAGTCTTTTCTCCTGGGGAATGCCCTGACAATGCAATCTGATCATGCCTGCCCTCTAACACCTCCCTAGCTCCCGGGTGCCCTCTATCTCCAGTGTGACCTCCTCAGCCTAGTATTCAGTGCCTTCGAGCTCTGCTACCTACAGCCTCTGCAGTTGCATTCTCTGCCATGATCCCCCACTCTGCTTTATGATTCAGCTCTTCTGAACCTCTCACCCTGCTGTCTCCCACCTCCTGTGCATGGCCATTCCTTTGCCCTGTGATGTCGTCATTTTCTGACACATTTCACCAGACAGACTCCTACTTATCTTCTGAGGTCCAGCAACAATGTCCCTTGGATTCCCTGAGCCTTAAGTCCCTCCCTCTGCCCCAAACCATTGCGTGTGTGCTGTCTGGAACTGTATTCCCAAACTCTCCAGCTTCACCAGGTGCCCAGCCTTGCCCATGTCTGTGGAGGGAATGAATGAGCTTGTGTCATAGTGGCCTGGCTACCAGCCCCCTCCTCCTCTGCAGGTGGCCCCTCAGCCCCTGTGGTTCTCAGACACTGTTGCAAACCTGAGGAAACTGAAGGAGTTGCCCCATCACCTGCTCCACTCGGGCCGCATTGAGGAGCTGAAGCAAGAGGTTCTGGGTAAGGGCTGCACCCATCCCACGGGGGATCGAGCCCTGTGCTTCCACCTTTTGGAGCTTGGGAAGAGTAAAGGGCAAAATCCTTGGCTCCTCTTAAGGCAGGTTCTCACCACGGGGACATTCTGTCCTCCCTCCAACCCAGGGGACACTTCACAACGTCTGGGACATCTTGATTGTCACAATGGGGAGGGGTGCTACTGACATCTAGTGCTAGTTGATGTGGCAAGTGAGAAGCTCAGCCTTAGAATGAGAGACTCTGTCATCTAAAATCTGTCATCTATTATCTGTCATTTATCATCTGTCATCTATCGTTAGATCTATCCATCCGTCTATCCATCTATTTGTATATCATTTCCATCTCTGTTTATTTACCATTTTTGTATATTTTTCTATGTATGTATGTATCCATGCATCATCTAGCTAGCTAGCTGCTGATATACTAATCATCTATCTACATACATCTAATCTTTCTATTATTTTTCTCTATCATTGATAGCTATCATCTTTATGCCTACCCATTCATCATCTATCTATTCATCCATCTTTCTGTCTGTCTATCCACCCATCTATATATTTGTCTATCTGGCTATCTAACCATCTGTTCATCCCTGTGATTCCCAAGCAGGGTGATCCTGCCCCAGAAGGGACACTTGGCAATGTCTGTGTTTTTGATTCTCATGACTAGGGAGATGCCACTGGTATCTGGTGGGTGGATCCCAGGGATGACACTCAGCATCCTACAGTGTCTGGGCCAGCCCCACCCCAGAGAATGACCTGGCTCCAAATGTCAGCAGTGCCGAGACCAGAACCTGCCTCTCAGGATGATTGGAGGGAGGTGTGTGCTCCCCATAGCCCACCCTCCTCCTCCCCACAGGCAGCATGAACTGGATTTCCTGCCGGGGCATTTCCGGGGGCATCGAGGGCCTGTTGGATGACTTTGACCTGTGGGCCCCTCACGTGGACTGTCCCGAGGTTGGCCTTGTCCGGGAAGCCCTGCAGCTGTGCCGCCCAGCCGTGGAGCTCCGGGGCATGGGTGAGTTGGGCTGGCTAGTGGGGGGCGCCCCTCTGCACTGAGCTCTAGAAGCCCACTCTCCAGCCGGACTTTCATTGACCCACACACCTTTCCTGTCCACACCTGGGGTGTCTCCTAGCTCCAGTGTCTAGAATTTTGAATTGAACATGGAAGAACTTCTGAGTGAAGACTACTGAAGTGGTGCTCATGCCCTAGCCCCAGCCCAGCACCTTTTTCTAGAAAGGGCCAGGTAGGAAATATTTCTGGCAAAATTAAGGAATTTACGCCACTATTAATACCAAGACAGAAAACACACTCCTATAGACATTTTATTGATGAAATTCAACATACTGTGATAATAATTGAGCACTTTTTGATAACTCAGGTCTACTAATGGCAAAGAAGAAGGGAAATTCATGTTCTGGGGAAAGCATTTTGCTTAATCGGGGTTTAGAGTCAGTGTTTGCTGTCATCTGCCCATTTTCCATCACTACGCTCTTTCCCTCGTCTTCACTCTTTATTATTTCTGCTGGTTTTCTTTTGCATCATCTGTCTGCCCCCCTGGACCCTGAGCTCCATTCTGTGCAGGTAGGGGCCTGATTCACTTGCTTCTGCCAAATTCCCACTCCTACCACATAGACTGATCCTAGCCAAGAGCGTGGGTTTTGAACCCCCCCTGTGTTGATTCAAATCTGGGCTCTGGCACACTTACTGATAGTGTGACCTTGAAAGTCCCCTTCCCTCCCCACACTACCCCTGCTTTTAGCTGTCATTTTTCCCATCTGCAAAATGGGGATGCTGGTCGACCCTCTACTTAGAAAGGGTATTTGAGTCAATTCATGCAGAGCCTCACTCTGATAGCATCTGAGGGTCCTGTTACTGTCACATGATAGTGTCAGTATTGTTGATGTGAGCAGCCGTGGACCAACTTTTTCTGCACTGAGCCTCAGCTTCCATTATCTGCAAAATGAAGGATTGAACTAGAGCATGTCTACGATCACACCCATGTGCAGGATGCTGGTGTCCACCATCGATTACACCTTTCTGGTGCATTCATGCCCACTAGGAGTAAGAAACCTCACAGTGAGCAACTTGGCAAGAAAACAGCCTTGGGCACAACTACCCAGTTGAAGGGAAGATTTAAAAGCGTGTTCTTTGCATGCATCCCTTGATTGACAACTTGTGGCTCACCAGCACAAGGAAGTGTGGGAATGACGGTCACAACTAGAGGGCGCAGCTGGGCAGCCACGCGCTCTCCGCAGCGCCAAGTCAGCATTCCTGGTTTCTCCTGTTGCCTCAAGCTCCAGGAGGACCGGACGCGGTGCCCTTTCTGACTGTGCTTTTATTTTAAAGGCTAATATTTTGTTCATTGTGGGTTTGAGTTGCACTAATTTTGATTTTTGAAAAATTGCTTTGAACTAGTATCTATCCTGATGGTTGAGTTGTTGGTGCCACTTTAAATTTTGCACCGGTGGAGAGTGGGACACTCACCGCTCACCCTGGCCCTGCCCCACCTCACCCTCCAGTAAACCGAGGCACAGGGCACAGGCCGCACAGTTAGGGCGAGCCAAACAGGGACAAAATGAACTGTCTGCCTTCAGGGTTTCTGGTCTGTATTTCATGTGGAAGTCAAACTTCCTGAGTGAGATTCCTGCCTCCTACCAGCTGTGCGACCTTGTACAAGTTACCTAACCTCTCTGTGCCTCAAACTTTCCCCTTTATAACATGGGGAAACAATGATGATACCTCTGTTGAGGGCAGAAATAACTGGCTCCCCAAAGACGTATTAGCTTTCTAAACCCTAGATGTGATTAAGTTACGGATCTTGAGAGCGAGCGTTTATCCTGCATTTTCCAGGAGGGCCGCAAGCCAAGGAATGCTTGGAGCCCCCAGATACAGGAAGAGGCCAGGAAGGCTCCTCTCTTAGAGCTTCTGGAGAGAGCACAGCGATGTTGACACCTTGATTTCAGACTTCTTGCCTCCAGAACTGGAAGAGAATAAAGTTCTGTTGTTTTAAGCACCCAGATTGTTTTGTTAACAGCAGCCAGAGGACACTAATATACTCAGTAACTAATGAGGTATTTATTGAACAGATACTTTTGGGTGTCTATGATGTTCTAGGCATGAAGAACATGGCAATGAACAAGACAGACATCATCCCTCTTCTCAGGAAACTCAAGGTCTAGGGTTGAGGGGGAGGCTGGGCCACCAAATAAACACACAAAGAAATGTTAAATTTCAACGGTGCTGTGACCTGAGTTTGGCAGGGGTGGGGATGAGAGGTTTGGGCTGGAGAATGCTTTTTGCAGAAGTGAACTTGCAGCTAAAATGGGGCCGTGGTCAGCACAAGCAGGGCATGGAGGAGGTGGAGAAGGTGTTCCAGGCGGAGGGAACAGCATGGGCAAGGGCACGGAGACTGGAAACCACCTGGTTTATTTCTCCCTCACGTAACAGTCCAGGCCTATGTAAAGGCAATACAGTGTCTCTTGGGTGTCGGGGACCTAGATGCTTTCAAGCTTGTTGCTCTGCCATTTTCAAAATGAGGCTTCCATTTAATTGTGCCAAATAGCTGCTTCAGCTCTTGCCATCACAACGGCATTCCAGCCAGTGAGTTGTGGAAAAAATAGGGACTAGTGTGTCTGGGGAACAGAGAGGGAGGAAGGAAAGGATGACAAGGGGGATGCTAGACCCAGGCAGCAGCGCCCTGCCCCTCAACCTGCATCCCCTTATTGCAGAGAAGAGCATCCTGTATACAGAGCTCCTGGCCAGACTGCATTTCTTCGCCATCTCACATCCAGCACTGGTGGGACAGCTGTGCCAAGAGGCCCAGAGCTGGTTCCGGGTGTGCCCATATCCTGTGCTGGTGCCGCTTGGAGGATTCCTCCAGCCCCCAGGAGGACCCCTCCGGGCAACCCTCACCGGCTGTCACAAGGGTGAGTCTCCCTAGCATGGCAGACACCCTACCACCTCCTCTTGCCTGTGGGCGGTGGGTGGCAGGTGTTTGGGGGCTACTCTCTGGGGCTTCCCTCTGCCAGTCAGGAGGCACCAAGGGTGCCATCAGGGCCTGCCCCTGCTGGCTCAGCCCTCTCTGCCTCCCAGGGACTGTAGGTCACTAGTATAAATACTGCTGATGAGCCCAGAAATGTGTGGGGGATGCCGACTGCCTCTGGGGTCTCAGTGCTAAGAGTTTTGTGCCCATCTTGCTGAGAATTTCTACAATTTACATGCTCATGCTAGTGAGTCTGGAAGCTGGGGATTGATGCTTGACTGGCTGCTGAGAGCTGGTGGAACCTGTCAGTTCCCCTAGGACACCATAATGTCAGAAGGACAAGAGGATTTAGCTTATCATCCATGCATTTATCACCCATCTTTCTATCTGTTCTTCTTTTTCCCTGCCTTCCTTTCATCTGTCAACCTGTCTTTCCATCTCCGTCCATCCATCCATTTGTCTGTCCGTCCGTCTGTCCGTCCATCCATCCATCCATCCATCCATCCATCCATCCATCCATCCATCCATCCATCCACCTTTCCTTTTTTCCATCCTTCTACCCTGTTAGGATACAGGTTCAAGTGCTTTAACAAAGGCATAAATAACAGTAGCTTAAATAAAATAGGGGTTCATTTCTCTCACGTAACAGTCCAGGCTTTCACACAACAATAAAGGTGATACAGCATCTCCTGGATGTCGGGGACCTAGACACTTTCAGTCTTGTTGCTCTGCCATTTTCAAAGCGAGGCTTCCATTTAATGGCCCAAAATGGCTGCTCAAGCTCTTACCATCACAATGGCATTCCAGCCAGTGGGTCCTGGCAAAGGGAAGTGGATGGTGGGCCCCTTCCCTTAGAGGACATGGTCTAGAAGCAGAACTTACACTTCTGCTCCTGTCTCATTGGTGAGAAATAGGCTGTCTCCAATTGCAAGGGATCCTGGGAAATATGGTCTTTCTCAGGGTGAGCATGCCCTCAGCGAAAACCTGTTTTTATTCCTAAATTTATCTTGTTTTATTACTACAGGAAGCATGATAGAGTGGTTGTTGGGGGGCACAAATCATAGCTGGTGCAGTGACTCATTAGTGATGTCTGCCATGGCGCAGGCAGAGGACGTTGCAGCTCAGAGCCATGTTTTTGTTTTTGCCGTCTGTCCGGTTGGGAAGGGCTTAGTGTTTCAGACCCACTATGCCCACTGTGTGGGCCCGAGTCATGTTGAGGTTGAGAAAGTTCCTATGCTCTGGGTTTTAGGCCCTTCATTTTTAGAATGAGAAGTCTGAGTCACATTTCTGAGGCCACACAGTTAATGGCCAGAAAAAGAAAGAAAGAGAGAGAGAGAGAGAGAGAGAGAGAAAGGGAGGGAAGGAGGGAAGGAAGAAAAGAAAACCAAATCTTCACCCCCTAGTCCAATGAAGTAGACACAAAATCCTGGATTCTCAGACCTGAACAGGCTCTGAATTCAACACTTTCCCCCACCATTTCATATACGGGGAAACTGAGGCACATTAAAGGAATTCCCTAAGGGCATTCAGAAAGTCTGCTCTCCAGATATCTGGACAAATATTATTTTTTGCTGGGGCACCAGCCTTTATTTTTCCACATAGGTTGCACTGTAAGAGAAGCCAAAAGTAGGGTCTCCCTTCTCGGCCGACGTACTTCCATTTTCTGAGTCTCGGTGAGCTTGGGCCGGGTTTTCGACCATGCACTATGAACACTGAGGCCGGATCATTCTCTGTCATGGGGACTGTGCTGTGCCTGTCCTGTGCCTCAGCAGCATCCTTGGCTTCCACCCACCAGTGCCAATAGCTCCCCAATTCCCAGACAACCAAACATGTCCCAGACATTGCTCTGCTCTTGGGCACAGAACAGCCCCTGTGTGAGAACTGCCGAGCTTGAGAGACGCCGGTAACCAAGGTTTCATTCAGCGTCTAAAAGCCACACAGACATTGCAGCTGAGATCTGCATCTGGTGTCTAATAGCACTGACATCAAAAGTCTGGCTCTGATACTTCCCAGGTGTATGGCTCTGGACAAGGGACTGGACCCATCTATGCCTCAGTTTCCTTGTCTGAAGCAGGGGCTCTTTAGAGGGCCCTGTGGCTGAGCACTCGGACATGGGGGCTGATGTCATAACTGTTGTCTCTGTGTGGCTGCAGGCATCACCGCCATGGCATGGAGCCTGGAAGAGAAGCTGCTAGTGGTTGGTACCCAGGATGGCACCATGGCCGTATGGGACATGGAAGAGCAGCAGGTGATCCACATCCTACCTGGCCACACAGGTAAGGCTCAGGAAGTGGGGTTTATGGTCATCTTCTTCCTAGTGTCCAATGTCAGCCTGTCAGTTCCCAGAGCCCTTTTAATGCCAGGGCTCTTGTTGGCAGAGTCAAAGAATGAACTTCACAAACATTCAAGGTAAGAGAGCAAGGCAGAGGCTTTTATTTAGAGAGAAAGCAGAGGACAGAGCTCCCAGTAGTGTGTTGTCTAGAGGATTTATAGGCAGTTGGGAGACAAAGGGCTAGGGATGCACACCTGCTAAGTGGTCCCAAGATGTTTATCTTTGAAGAGACATTAAGTTTCTTATTAGTCTTCTTGGTTATTTACAAAAAATTTACTGCTCTGATTCCCTCCCAGGATAGCAGCTTCCTGGTCTGGGCGTGTATCACTCAAGACTGCCTGCTTTGCTCCCAAGGTGGGCTGGGTTATTGTCTGTTTGTTAAAGAGGATGTTAACTTACTTTTTAACTAAGTTTTAAAATACAATCTTATCTTTAAGATAGAATCCTTCCTGTTGTTACTATGTTGTTTATGACTGGGCTTGCTTGCTAAATCAATCGCCCAGGTTGCAAATCACTGGTTAGGGCCGGAGGAGGAAAAGCAGCACCTGGGTAAAGTCAAAAAAAAAATAAGCTGGGCCCCCCAGGGGGCCAAAGCAAATCCCACAATAGCATGATACAACGGATACAATGAAGACATGGGCTATGCTGACATATTTTTTTTTCAATTTTTATTTTTGTTTTTCAAAGAAAAACAGTGTGTTTACTACATTCACCCCTTCCTTATTACTGAGTCCCCACCCCCCATGCCCCATTGCAGTCACTGTGCATCAGTGTAGTGAGATGCTATAGAGTGACTACTTGTCTTCTCTGTGCTGCACACTGCCTTCCCCGTGACCTACCTATATTGTGAGGGCTAATTATAATGCCCCTTAATCCCCTTCTCCCTCCCTCCCCACCCCACTTCCCTTTGGTAACTGCTAGTCCCTTCTGGAGTCTGAGTCTGCTGCTGTTTTGTTTGTTTTATTGTTATACTCCACAAATGAGGCAAATCATTCGGTACTTTCTTTCTCTGCCTGGCTTGTTGCACTGAGGATAATAACCTCTAGCTCCATCCATGTTGTTGCAAATGGTAGGATTTGTTCTCTCCCTATGACTGAATAATATTCCATTGTGTGTATGTATCACTTCTTCTTTATCCATTGTCTACAGATGGACACTTAGGTTGCTTCCATATCTCAGCTATTGTAAATAGTGCTGCAATAAACATAGGGGTTAATATGTGTTTTTGAATCAGGGATCTTGTTTTCTTTGGGTAAACTCCTAGGAGTGGAATTCCTGGGTCAAATGGTATTTCTATTTTCAGTTTCTTGAGGAACCTCCATACTGCTTTCCACAATGGTTGAACCAATTTACATTCCCCCCAGCAGTATAGGAAGGTTCCCCTTTCTCCACATCCTGGCCAGCATTTGTTGTTCCTAGTCTTTGGATGTTGGCCATCCTAACTGGTGTGAGGGGATGTATCATTGTGGTTTTTATTTGCATTTCCCTGATAATTAGTGATATGGAGCATCTTTTCATGTGCCTATTGGCCATCTGAATTTCTTTGAAGAATTGTTCATATCCTCTGCCCATTTTTTAATAGGGTTATTTGCTTTTTTGGGTGTTGAGGCATGTGAGCTCTTTATATATTTTGGATGTTAACCGCTTATCAGATAAGTTGTTTACAAATATATTCTCCCATTCTGTAGGATGCCTTTTTGTTCTGCTGATGGTGTCCTTTGCTGTACAGAAGCTTTTTAATTTGATGTAGTCCCATTTGTTCATTTTTTATTTTGTTTGCCTTGCCCGAGGAGATGTGTTCAGAAAAAAGTTGCTCATGTTTATATTCAAGAGATTTTTGCCTATGTTTTATTGTAAGAGTTTTACGGTTTTGTGACTCACATTCAGGTCTTTGATCCATTTCAAATTTACTTTTATGTATGGTGTTAGACAATCCAGCTTCATTCTCTTGCATGTAGTTGTCCAGTTTTGCCAACACCAGTTGTTGAAGAGGCTGTCATTTCCCCATTGTATATCCATGGCTCCTTTATCGTATATTAATTGACCATATATACTTGGGTTTATATCTGGGTTCTCTAGTCTGTTCCATTGGTCTATGGGTCTGTTCTTGTGCCAGTACCAAATTGTCTTGATTACTGTGGCTTTGTAGTAGAACCTGAAGTTGGGGAATGTAATCCACCCCGCTTTATTCTTCCTTCTCAGGATTGCTTTGGCTATTTGGGGTCTTTTGTGGTTCCATATGAATTTTAGAACTATTTGCTCAGTTCATTGGAGAATGCTATGGTATTTTCATAGGGATTGCATTGAATCTGTATATTGCTTTAGGCAGGATGGCCATTTGACAATATTAATTCTTCCTATCCATGAGCATGGGATATGTTTCCATTTATTGGTATCTTCTTTAATTTCTCTCAAGAGTGTCTTGTAGTTTTCAGTGTATAGGTCTTTCACTTCCTTGGTTAGGTTTATTCCTAGGCATTTTATTCTTTTTGATGTAACTGTGAATGGAACTGTTTTTCTCATTTCTCTCCCTGCTAGTTCATTGTTAGTGTATAGGACTGCAACAGATTTCTGTGTATTAATTTTGTATCCTGCAACTTAGCTAAATTCAGATATTAGATCTAGTAGTTTTAGAGTGGATTCTTTAGGGTATTTTATATACAGTGTCATGTCACCTGCAAATAGTGACAGTTTAACTTCTTCCTTGCCAATCTGGAAGCCTTTTATTTCTTTGTGTTGTCTGATTGCCATGGCTAGGATGCTAAGGTATTTTCTTATCTGGGGGATGTTCAAACATTCCAGGCCCAGTTACTCCTGGCTTTTTAGTTTTAACTAATTTTACTGAAGAATGCCTATATTCCTAGTTTGATATTTTTACCTAGAGAATTAATGTGACTCTAACTTTGCTTAATTGTTTAACAGGGAGTTTTGGTAGGGGTTTCTTTGCATATTGTTACATTGTTCTGACTGGGATTAACCTGCTTTGCTTTTTCTGAAGTCCCCCTACTCTGTCTAAACCCGTGGTCCCTGTCTCACTTTCACCACTGACTCACTTCTTTGCACCAAAACCCTGGCTTTGTTCCTGCATCAGTTAGCTATAACTGCATAACAAAACACCCTAAAGCATAGTAGCATCAAACAATAGCTGTTTATTTAGCTCACCTTCTGTAGGTTGGCAATTCAGGCTGGGCTGAGCTGGGTGGCTCTTCTGGTCTCAGCTGGACTTGCTCATGCTTATGTGGTCAGGGGGGCATCTGAGAGGTGGCTTGTCCAGGATATTCTCAAATGAGACAACTCAGTTCTGCTCCTTGTAGTCTCTTATCATCCAGCAGGTTAGAGTCAAGGTCTCTAGAGGGTGAGCAGAAGCACAGAAGCTCTTTTAGGGTCTAGAATTGGCCTTGAAACTGGCACCCCATCACCTACTATTGGCTAAAGGACATCACAAGAATAGTCCAGAATCAATGGGAAGGGAAATAGACTTCATTTCTTGATGAAGAACAAATGTCACACTGCAAAAGGTATTAATCAGGGAGGGTAAAGAATTGTAATCATTTATGAAATCTGTTACCTGAAGTCCCTAAGAAACTAAGTGAGGTTTTCATTTCTGCAAAGTCCCATCATAGCTATGGTTTGTTCATTCAATCGATTATTGAGTGACTACTGTGTACCAGACCCTGTTCTAGATGTTAAAGAGAGGCTGACCAGGGCTGAAACTAGGGTTAAGAGGAGGGAGGTACATGCCACAGACACAAAATTTAATTAATTTTAATCATTAAAAATTTAAATTATTTAATTATAATTTTAATTATTCAAATTAATTTCAATTAATTAGTTTATTTAATTATGCTTAATGTATTTGGGCTATTTCTAGTTATCACATTATCATAGATAATGCTGGGATGAATCTCTTTCTGTTCTCAACAACATTTTTTTCCTTTGGTTGAATATTTCCATTGAGTAGGAATCTTGAATTGGAGGGTGTGAACATTTCTGTGTTGTAAGAAGTGTTATCTTACTGCTTTCTGAACAGGCTGCATGTGGCAGAATAAAACAACATAACCCCAAATCTCCCAGCATTAGATGTTTTCATTTTTCTTTTTTGATTCTGAGGGGTGGGAAGGAGGTGGGTACCAGTAGAATACCTGTCAAATACGATTCCATTTATGATCACCAGGATGGCTATTCCCTATAGGTCTATTCAGTATTTGTATTTGTGTGTGTGGGAGCCATGTGTTTGAGACCTGAGCCCATTTATTAATGATGAGCTTGATTCACTTTTTAAAAAGTTATCAGACTTTTATTACTTGCAATTCAAAAAACTCAGTAATCGATTGATAACTCCGAAAGCATTACAGATACACATAATAAGAAAAATGAGTTTCCAATCACATGGTAGTAGGCTGGATGTGGTTTGTACTGTTTTGTGAGAGCTGATGGTGAAGTTCTCAGGAATATTGTGAGTCAGTTGTCAAACATGGTCATTATTAAACGTTAAATTATAGAAACTTACAGCTAAATCAATTATAGTTGGCCCTTGATCAGCATAGGGGTTGGGGCACAGTTGAATCCTCATATAACTTTTGACTCTCCCCAAATTTAATCACTAACAGCTTACAGTTGACCAGAAGCCTTACCAATAACAAACAGTCAATTAACACATATTTTGTATGTCCTTTTAGTATATACTGCATTCTTACAATAAAGCAAGCTACGAAAAAACATGTTCTTTCAAATTGTCACAAATCTCCGAACAGTTTTCCAGTATATTTTTTGAAAAATATCCTTGTGGAAGTGAATTGGTGCAGCTTAAACCCATGTTGCTCAAGGGTCAACTGTATGTTAAAACAAGGTAATAAATAAATAAATACTCAAAACATATTGCTTTCTAATTATTTTACCACATTCTACTACTATTTATGTTCTTGACTCTTGTATCCATATGGTGGAAATGGTGTGCTATGGAATCTCTCTTTGCAACTCCACATTCAATGGTATATGTGAGAGGTTTGATATCAGCTATGGTGGGAGTATTTATACCATGGGAAACGGGCAAATGCTTTCTTCCAAATCAGGGCTTTCTTCCACCCCTTGGAAAGCCAGTTGTTAAACATTTATTTTTTGTTCTAATCCCTTTGTGAAGGAAGTGTTTGTTTATGTATAAACATATGGTTAGATATAGTTACATAACTGTTTGCAAGTTTTTTTTCAGTTGATGTCACAAATGTTATCACTTCCTATGTCATATATATATTTCTAATTCTATGATGAGGTTGAACATCATTTTCTAATGCTTATTGTCTACTTGTATTATTTCTATAAATTTCCTGCTTATATTCTTTGTACAATTTATGAGTAGGTTATTTGCAATTTTCTTGCTTATTTGTAAGAACTCGTTGTTTATTAAGGAAGGTCTCTATTTGTTATATACCGCAAATATATTTTCCTAGTCTATCATATGTCTTTTAATTACATTTGATCCTCTTGAAGTTTTGTATTTTCATGTAATCCACTTGGTCAATTTTCCCCCTTCATCTCTTCCAAATTTCATGTTTTGCTTAGAAAAGCTCTCCAAGATTATAAAATCTCCTGTAATTTTACTTTTTTATTATTTTATCTACTAATTTATTATTTTATTTACTAATTTTAAATGCTCCCTGGATGATGCTGAACTTTTATAAATTTCAGTGACCTCTGCTAGTTACGGATTCAACATCTGGGCAATAGATTTAATCCCAACCAATTGTTACACTCTTAATTTAGCTTTGTCATATTCCATTATTTGTAATTTGGTTATATTTGAATCCACCCATCTTTTTTTTTGAGAGGGCATATTTATTGATCAAATGGTTGTTAACAACAATAAAATTTTGTATAGGGGACTCAATGCACAATCATTAATCAACCCCAAGCCTATGAATCCACCCATCTTTTATTTGGTAAGCCAGGGGATTTCCAAGCCAATGGGTATTTTGGTAGTTGGAAGGTCAGGATGTTTTCAGCTAATATATTCTTCCCACTTTGGTCTGCCACAGGAGAGGTGAGGTATGTGAAAGTTTTTGCCAAGGGGACACTCGCCATCTCTGCTTCAAAGGACCATACACTGCGTTTGTGGAACTTACTCTCTGGCCAGGAGAAATTCAACATTTGGGATGGAGGCTCCACAGGGCTCACTGAACCTCAGATCTGGAGCCTTCACGTGGATGAGACAAAGAAGGTGGTGTATTCAGCATCTGGCTCAAAGGTACCAAACACCTGCCTTGTTTGCAAAGGCAAGCTGAGACCAGAGAATTCAAAGGTGGCAAATGTTTGCATAAGGAGGGGCTCCTGGTATGGGGTGCATGTAAAAGGGTATACAACTATTTGAGAGAGGTTTCAACCTTATAAGGGTTTCAAACTTCATAGTTGGATTAGATGACCCTGACAGTTCTTTTGTGTCTTAAGAATTGAAACCTTTCATCTTTTTTTATTATAGTCATTTTAGTGCTATAAATTTCCCTCTGAGTACTGCTTTATCTATGTCCCACAAAATGTTATGTTATCATTAACATTCAGTTCAAAATACTTTCAGATTTCCCTTTTGATTTCTTCTTGGTCCATGAGATATTTATTTATTTATTTTTATCTAAGTATAGTTAACATACAATATTATATTGACTTCAGGTGTAAAACATAGAGATTCAACAATTATATACATTATAAAATGCTCACCGTGATAAATGTAGTTACCATCTGTCACTATACAAAGATCACGATGTTTTTGACTTATTCCCTATGTTGTACTTTTCATCCCCATGACTTATTTACTTTATAACTGAAAGTTGGTGGCTCTTTATCCTCTCCAACTATTTCACCCATTCCCCTCCACCCTCCACCCCGTGGCAACCACCAGTCTGTTCTCTGTGTTTATGATTCTATTTAGAAGTGTGCTATTTGTTTCTATTTGAGAGTTTCCTAGATAGCTTTCTGTTTTTTTTCCCCTAATTTAATTCCATTTGTATGACGTGAATCCTTCCAAATGTATTGAGACTCATTTTATGGTCTCTTTTGGTAAATGTTACATATGCTTCTGAAAAAAGTATGTATTCTTCAATGTATTCTTCATTATGTCAGTTATAACCCTATGATCTGATTGTTTGATAAATAGAGATGCAATATATTAGTGGGTTAAAACTCAGTAACTAAAGACATGGGGGAAAATCTGTATTTAACTCGCAGTTGATTTCTTTGCAAGCTGAGAAATCTTGATCATATCACCTTACCTCTCTGCCTCAATTCTTCCTCTACCTCAGATAATGAGTGCAAGACACCTGGTCTAGAGCCTGGTAAATAGTAAGCACCAAATAATTAGTAGATATTAATTATTATTTTTTATTAGTAATTGGTGGTTGTTAACATATGTAATGTTGGTAGCTTATAAACTATACCATCCAATAGGGGAGGCACCAACCAGATATGACTATTGAACACTTAAAACATGGCTATTCAAAACTGAAATATGCAGTAAGTATAAAACATGCACTGGATTTCAAAGACTTAGTAACATACAAATATTTCAATAATAATTTTATATTGATTATATTTTGAA